AAACAAGACTGAACTCGTTTTTTCTTTTGGTTGCATTTTCTTCGCAGCCAAATATTTCATTTGTTTATTCGGAAAGTCTATAACGTAGTAATTTATTCAGACGAATTCTTAAAGCTTGATTTCGATATCCAATAAAGGGCCTACAATTAGCATCGTCAAGCAATAAATATTTCTGCCAATTATGCTTAATTATAACTGTATCTAGGTGAAGTCACAGTTACGACAGTTAGCTCATTAGGGGTTTTAGTTTTCAATATTCCTTGTCCTGATTGTGTTTATGTTTTAATTTATTTCTTTTTGTGTGTCATTTTTACTAAAACGTGTGTTAAATGTAAATACGGAATATTTGCGGTCGATTATTCGTTAGAAAACTTTAAGCTAGACTATTGATTTAACAAAGTCTATTAACCAAAGTTTCATTTTATGTTTTATTTCCATACTTTGAGACATACGTTTTTTTAATGGCTCTTTAACAGAGTTGAAATAATCCCGAATAATTATGTTAAATCAGTGTTTAGGTTCAGGTTTTTTGACTAACGTCTTTTTTTGCATTCACTAATTCGGTTCAGGTTTTGTATATACCGGATTGTTAATAAGATTAATATAAGCTTTGTCACTGAGTAATAATAATACTGTGTTTTTTACTTAGTTTCCAGCTGAAAATTATTTTAATAGGGCATAATTTTAATATATTAGAAAAATTTGAAGGACTTGAAATATTTTAAATTATTTCGCTTCATTAAATATATTGCGAAAACCACCCAGTAAAGTATGTGAGAGATGCGGGGAAAAAAATAGGCAATGCCAGTAATGTTCATGCATAGTAAAATATGTTTGAGTACACATGCCTTGAGCACGCACGCATAGCAAAGAACCTTGTGTTCACTGGCCTTTCATAAGAGCGCAAGGCGCGTTTTTACTGTTAATGTTCATATTTTTACAAGTAATGCACAAATAGCCTTTGTAAATATTTTTTATTAAAAAGAACGTTATCGATTGATTTTTTCGCCAAATTCTATTCATTCCTACTCGCAACATCAATCAAACTTGACACTCGAATGCGTTTAAAAATGACGGAATATATCAACACTTCAACAACAATTTAAGTGATTTTCAAGTGCAAAATAACTGACCTTACTTCGAATAATTATTATTTAAGGCTTGAACGATAAGATACAAATCGACGGTTTTTTTCTGAACAATAAAAGGTGAAGTCTTTAAATACAGAATTTTATGATGGAAACCACTTGCCCTACTTTCGATAATGCAGGATTACAAATCAGCGAACATGCAATAAGTTACCCCACAGGCGACCAAATGTCCGAAGAAATATTTGAGTCTAAAAGGAATGATACAGTAATAAGCCGAACACTTCCGTTAACCGAAAATGCAACGAATTCCCATCCCTTAATGTATTCGCCTAGTTCTAATATGTCGCCTGATTTTCCCGATGTTATTCCCGAACAGGCCAAGAACAAGTACAAAGAAGCCAAGTTTCACCCCGAGGTCCAAACTGCAGCATTCGACAACAGTACTGATTCCTGTGATTCATTTGAAAGGCAATTAAATTTGTCACCATCCGAATATGATGAAAAGTTACCTGGTAAGTGGTTTGCATCTGAGGATGTGTGAAGATGGATGAATCCCTGTAAGCTTTCGAGGGAAACACCCCTGGAGGTGGCACTCATAGAGAAATTATTTTACTTACTCTATGGTGGCACTTGTGTTTGCAAAACATCAGGAAGAAATTACTTTCCGAATTGATGAGTTTTTCGGCTGTAGTGCTGACGCGCAAAAACAACGCTTTAGCTCGGATACTTACACAGAAATCAGTCCAGTGTTTTTCCGATTTATAGCCATATTTTATTTTTACTTAATTTTGTTTCAGATTTTCCTAAAAGCCCTTCGGCTTTAAAAAAGCTACTCAAGTATGAGTTACCTGTAGAAACCTCTTATGAACCTACTAGTGATACTGAAAATGAAAAATCTATTTATGAAGCCCATTTAAGCTCCAATCTGCAGAACGTCTCTCTTACAATGACTGAGAAAGAAGGTAATGGACACTTTTTTTTTTGTTTAATGGACACTTTTTGAAGAAAAATTCTTGAGAAGTTGCACAGGAAAATAGTAGTTGGCAAATATTCGATAAGTGCTTTTATTAATTTCTAAAAAAAAAACATGTTTTACAGTCTATACAAGAAGCCTATACATTCGACAAAAACAATTCTTGGGTTTCTAAAAATTCGTATACCTTAATGTTAATTTTAGATTAACGCTTTTTTTATAATTGTTACCGTTTTTTGGAAAATCAGTTCAGTTCGCTTTACACCGCGCATGATGCACGGTTGAATGAGACTCTGCTACTACTAAAATGGCAAATTGAACTTTGCGAATGTTTCATTTAGAAGCTATTTTGAGCTGATACTGTTAACGAGAAAGGAAACCGTTTAATGTAGAAACAACCGCGAAAGAGCAGCGCTTCTAACGAAATCCGAGCATTGGTCGACGCCTAAAAAATGTCAATGATACAAAAACTCACTAAAAAATCGCGCTCCAGATTTTGAGAATCAGTGAAGAAGTGTTTCTTACGTATAAAATTGCGGCTAAATGTTTGAAAAACTGTGAGTTATAAAGAAAAAACTTCCAAAAACTGCCAAGACATCACCCAATTTTTTACAAGTAATATTTGCAGTAAAACTATATAACATAGCTTATATAAAGTATATTCTTCATGGCTATTTTATTGTCTTCAGGCAACTTAAACTTTCTGGCCCATAACAAACGCAGCAATAAATTGAGACATATCAAGTTTGTGCATAGGGAAAATCAGAAAAGCGATGTTTCCTCTATGGATAGTGACTCAGATGAGAGTCTCAAATCGGATATCTTTGAAGATGACGCTGAAAACTTTAAAGCTGATCTGGATGAAGGTATACATTCGTTAATGGTGGCATGTTTTCCGATTTTCTAAGCTACTTGGTGTTTTAGATAATAACACATCTGAACCGATAGAGCCGTTAAGTGCAGAGGAAGAAAGACGGCATGCTCGAAACTGGCAACGGATGATTCTTCCTGGTGGCGAACACAGAACGATTGATATGCGCGTTATTGAGCCCTACAAAAGGGTTCTATCACATGGCGGTTATCTTAGAGCGGGAGGACATACGGCGATTGTGGTGTTTGCAGCCTGTTACTTACCCGACAAGTCACGCGTTGATTATGATTATGTAATGGATAATCTGTTCCTGTAAGGTTTTCAGCATATTTATAGTTAAATATTTGTTTTTTTGCCACTAAACCTTTCAGATATGTGTTGTGGACGTTAGAACGGCTAGTCACCGATGATTATGTAATGATTTATCTTCATGGAGCAGCCAATAAGTTGCCCTCGTTTTCTTGGTTGAAGAGATGCTATGAAATGGTCGGTAGAAAATTGAAGAAAAACTTGAGCCATCTTTACATCGTGCATCCAACGCTTTGGATCAAAACCATGCTGTATATGTCAAAGCCCTTTATCAGGTTTGTGTTTGTTTGGTGTTTAGTGGCTTTCTCCTTAATAATTATACTTCCGTTTTTTGCAGTTCCAAGTTTTATCGGAAAATTTCTTTCATCGGAAGCCTCCGAGAACTGCTCACCAGGATTCCTTTGGAAGCAGCCGCAATTCCCGATAAAGTCAAAGCTTTCGATAGTTTGCACGGGGCACAGTAATCTTGGATTCGATTATAAGGTCTATTTTCTTGAATGTTTCTACACATTTTTGAGATTAAACAAGAGGATGAGGGGGTACTTAACTAGTCTAGTAGATCTGTCGAGCTTTAAGGTGAGCATTCCAATTTAGTACGGTTTAGGTGCTTAACGCTATTTTAATTGTTCCTAGTTTTTTTTATCCCGATAGGCAGTATTCATAAAAATCTCTAAAATTCCACTTAGCTTTTCACAAACTCAATAATGCAAAAATTTTACTGACCGTCGTCATTTTTTATGCCAGAGTCCGATTTTCGCCCAAAAATTGCCAATTTACTTCAGCTGGTTTTATGAAATTAATGCACGCAAGTTATGTATTATGTTAATTGTTCATTCCATTTGCTTTTGCATACACACATTTCCAATTCCCTTGGGAGCAGCGCATTGATATTGACGGGCTGATTAATTTGATCGGTCCATAAAATATAGTTCCAAGCTTACAGTCAGCAAGTAAACGTAAGCTTATTGTTAGTTAATTGTTTTTTGTGTTTTCCACTTAGTAACGTGCAATTTACAAAAAGTAGAAAATATACAACGAATGAGCGTCTAGGAATATTATTTGATTTGCAAAATTTTGTTTATATATTTATTTGTATCTTGTAGTTTTCCTTTGATTTGATAATTGTCTGTGGTATTTTTTACATTCCTATTTATTTTACTCATTGTTTTTGAACCAAAAGCGATATTAATATTAAAACTATTATTTCATATTGTGCGTATTTCAATAAACCATCAAGTGACATTTGTTTCCTAAATACGAAGGTAAGTCCAGTAAATTAAAGACAGATATTTACACAGTTTATTTCAACACACTTTTAGAATTATATTCTTATTCTAAGCGCCAATCTTCTAAAACAAAATTCAGAACGTCTCATTGTTTTGTATGTTACTGATACATGTTTTAAAACCCTGTTCATTGCTATTAGATAAGAAATAGTAAATCGATTTTGTTATTGAACCTTGCACGTTTAGAGATTATTATTTGATAAATTGTAAATGAAAGGCACACAGTAAATCACTTTGCAAATATCTTAGGTAAAATCAAAGATGACATTGGAACAGGAAATGATTGCACTTATTAATAAGAAATGGCAAACACTTTTAGACATGAAACTGCAATTTTGAAAGAGACGAGTGACGAAACGTTTAAAAACACCAAACATCATTTATACTAATTTTCCATGAGCTGTATATTAAGTAATAAAAATAATATTTAAAACTATCTACATAAATTGATATTAAGTACTATACAGCAGTACAAATACTGATATAAATATTGGGAGTAAAGCAATAATGCATCTGGCAGTGAAATTATCACTAATATGTTCTCAACGTTCCTTTGGCGACATCAATGCTACAAGATTTTTTAAATCTAAGATATTCCTTGAGTAACTCCTAGAAAATGGATAAAGACATTTTAAATAAAAGGATTGTCGGGATTCAAAACGTTTCTTACGTTTGGCAGTGGGTGCCTAATATGCGTTTTGGAAAATTTCTTGATAATGTCCCCAAACTGGTTGTAAAGATCCAGAAGCTGGCTAAGAGAAAATCCTTCTGTGCCTTTAACGATTTGATCTAGCAGCTTTTCTAAATCGGTTTCGGAACACTCGATTTGTTTGGACTTTTCGGTTCCTGAAATCACAATTGCCGCTTTAAATTTTAAATCGTTACATCTTGATAATCATGTTTATTATACTTGGATATTCATCTGTACTAACCGTTTTCATGTAAGGCCTGATCGATTTCATCAAAATATAAAGGAATATCCAATAATTCAGAGGGGCTAAGCAAATCGCAAGACATTTTATCTGTTGACCTGAAAACGAATATTTTGCCAAATTAACTGAAAAACCGCAATAAAAATAAACGTTTTTACTAACCGTGTCATATGTGATGATGAAACTTCTTTGTGATTATCACAGTTAATGCTTAAGGTAGTATTAGTATCGACAGATTTGCAAGAAGCATCTTCAACAGTGGTTGGTATTTCTATGGTGCTACTATCAGGATCGTTTTTGGATTCATCACTAGATATTTTCTCTTTCTAAAGTTAGATCAATGTATTAAACTTGTTCGGTAAATCTCAAGTATGGGAGTAATGAAATGGTTAAAATGCATTAAGTATAATTATGCTTAGACATGAAAAGTCGAGTTCAGAACTGGAATAAAACTCCTTATATTTATCAAATAAAATTAGTTTTAAGCCGGTCCCGAACCCACTCAGACTTATTCAGATGTTGACTCTGCATGTGTTCTACATAAAAATAATGTAAAAAAGACTGAATAATAACAGTTAGTTACAATATTAATAGCGAGTATATTTTTGGGGTGTGACTACGAAAGAGTTACAATAGTAAACAATACAGTCAATAAGTGAAATTACTACATCTAAATAGGATTATTCTAAAATATCAAAAAGCAATTAAGTTCAATTATTAAGCTACTTACCGACTTGTTTGCCGGTATGTCCAGTTTTTGTCTCTTGGATTTCCTTTTTAAGTATCCATTCTGCCAGTTACATCTAATCCTGCGTTTCTTTATGCGAGATATTGTATTTCGTGACCTATCCGGAGTATCTTGCGAATCAACATCGCCAATTTCAACAGAACCTTTTTCTTCTATATCTAGGTTAAGTTGTTGGAGATCTAAGAGCATTTCGGAAAATAAAATTGTACTAAATACCCAACACTTGTTCGTTATTATTTTCGTTCAATCAATCGCAAAGTTCGAAGTAAATGTACTTACTTGGTGTAATCATGTAAGAGGGTAAATATTTCGCAGTGCAAGCCTTTCTTTGTTTCCGCTGCTTTTTAATATCTTGGCATTTATCCTCAAAATCGCTGTCCATTTCAGTCTTAATCAACGTATAGGCATAATCGCGCAACGAGCACGCTCGATGTCTGATTTGCTTATCTGCAGAGCTCCTGCAAGATTTACTTAAATTAAATTAGTGATCAGTAAAAATATAAGCTGTATACATACTTAGCCGGATTGTATTCTAGAGCATTCTCACAAATTAAATCGATATCCTGCAAAAAGTCTTTGGCACATTCATAGCGATGAAAATCAACTTTGGTCATCATCGTTTCCAAATCCATCGGTTGCTTTATAATTTCTGTATAATCAGGTACTTCTTCGGTGTCGACGGGTTTGGTAAACATAAAAAATCTAAAACAAAACCATTACAATCGCGACCACAACTAAACAACCATACTGTGATACGTACAATTTATTATTGGCGAGCTTTTTACACATATCTCGCAAAAATATTCTCAATTCCCTTAATGTGTGCTCTTCAGTCTCATAAAGTTTTTGAGCTTGCTCCTCAGTCAGCTGTATAGGCGGCGGAGTGTCTTCTCGAGGTAGCGACGGAGGGGTTACTGGACGGTCCCTGGCCTCTCTTATAGGTCTCAAGCAGATATCGATTATATTTCTGAAAAACTGACGACGAGCTTCAGCCTTCGGGGCAGATACTTCTTGAATTTCCTTCCGGTAATGTGAAAATAGCTCTCGAATCTGAAAACAAATCTTTCATTGAATGAAATAGATCAGTCGGATTAGATATTCCCGGGCACTAAATGGTAAAGGATTATTGCAAGGATGCTGCAAAATGAGACAACTGAATTAAACTGTTCATTTGTTTACTAAAAAAACCCGAGTTCAGTGTTTTTTTTAAATTTTCTATAGTTTAATTAAATCTTAAATTAGTTTTGCTTTTAAACAATCGTACTATAACTTCTTTTGGACATCTTTGTACCACTTTGTACAATTGGTATAAATTTCAACTGAAAATATTCATAACTTTTTGTTCATTCCTATTTGTTAGATCAAAAAGACTATTGCCAGATTGTAAATAAGTTTCTTTTAGACGCTGGAAAGACTTCTCCAAGGATTTATTTTACTCGTAAAGTGTTATACTACAACGTACAATAAAGGAAAAGTTAATTACTGAAAGATAAATTGTTTAAATATTAAGTTAAAAATCAGGTATATTTAATGTTAAAAGTCAATTTTCAAATTTATGCCACTTGATTATATGTTTATAAAGACCTTCTAAAAAGATTTAGGATGATTTTTTTGAAGTATAACTAAATTGATTACAAAAAATTTCAAAAAACGCTTCCAATAATTTAAAATCTAATCTGACTGCATTAAGAGCCCAGTACATACCTCTTTGGGAAGTTGGTTATAGGAGACGTCTGCTGCAGCCAAAATCAAGATAGGAACATTGGGGTCAATTTCCTTCAATTGGGACAAGTAGATCGCTTTAACAGTATCAGAGGCCAGTTTCCACCAGCGGTCTATATTTGGAATATATATTATGCTTGGAACATTCTTTCTTGCTTCATTGAATATCTGCAATATCAATTAGAGAATGGACTTTAGTTCTGTCGTGCCACACTTTGCTGAGTGTGTTGTCTGCTTTTTACTTTTTACAGCTAAAAATACTTAAAGACTCACCTGAATACATGCTTCTTCAGGCAATCTTCCTGGTTCGCGATACAGCGTGGCTAAATCCAACAGATAGGAGTGAATATGTTCCATCCTAAACAGCAAATCTGGGCCGATGTGATTCGATTGACCGTGCTGAGCACCATCTCCAGCCAGAAGTAATTGCGCCGGTCTTAAGCTTGCCGAAAGTTTCACTCTAATTATACAATAAATCAGTCAAAAAAAAACTAATGCCTCCAGCGTATCAACCAATTTTTCCGAGAAGTAAACATATGTAATGCAGTTAGCCGGTTTTTCCACTCAATAAACTAGGCCCTAAGTCATGTTAAAAAATCTCATTTGATAGGAAAATAGTTAGCGTAAAAAAATTAAATGCTTTAAACCTTAGTACTTACTTGGCCAATGAAGAGTTCAAGCCGTGTGGGAAAGTTTGCTCCAAAGTATCTAATGCGTTTTTAATTACTGGTCCCAGCAATGGTTCCAAAATGTTAAGTAACTTTTTCCCCAAACCCGAGGCTACTCTATGTGAGGCCGGAACCAGCATCGACTTGGCCCTCAAAAAATCTACCTTGTTCACCTTAATAGAAAAACTTGTTAGTTGTCATTTTCATTGTTCCAGCGAATCCCGGTTGCCCTCTTACCTTAACGCTTTCAGGTTGCAGTAACAATCTGTGGTCCGAATTGTAAACTTGTGGGTATGTTCGTCTGAAACTTTGAATAACGGCTTCGGAACAGAGCGCTCTCAAGTCCGATCCACAGTAACCAACAGTGCTTTCTGCCAAAGTCCCTACCAGCTCGTCACTAGGAGGTTGCGACCACTTAGCAACATGAACTTTCAAAATGTCTTCTCTTTCCTGAAACCCAATACTATATAGCTCCTATATTAGTGTTTCAAATAAGCCGACTTACCGTTTTCGATGGTAAAGGAAAGAACAACTCTCGATCGAACCTGCCGGGTCTTCTCAAAGCCGGATCGATGGCATCTATCCGATTTGTAGCCCCAATAACAATCACTTCGCCCCTATCGCTTAAGCCATCCATCAGGGCTAAAAGTGTGGAAACAATACTCGCGTGCACTTGGTCTTGTCTTGAAGACCTTATTGGAGCCAGGCCGTCCAGCTCGTCGAAGAATATAATGGAAGGCTTCATTTCGGCTGCCTGCAATAATCCACATAGAACAATAATTAAGAAAAATTCAGGGCCTGTGAAATTTAAATATACCTGCTCGAAAAGTGTCCGTAATTGTTTCTCGGATTCCCCAAGCCATTTACTCAACAACTCGCCACCCTTCATCATAAAGAACGCCACTTTGCGGTTTCCAAAGCTGGATTCGTTTGCCAGCGCTCTGGCAATCAAAGTTTTACCGGTACCTGGTGGACCATGAAATAGTACGCCTCTGGGTGGTTGAACCTATCAAGATGTTCATAAAAATTAAAATAACTAGCAGCGACAAATTTGTTTTCAACTTTCAACTGACCTGAAATTGTTTGAACACTTCTGGATACATCATTGGAAGTAAAATCATTTCCTTCAAGCACTGGATGTGGTTCTGCAAGCCTCCAATGCTGCTAAATCGCACAGATTGGTCCAGCATCTCCGGTTTAATCGGTTCAATGTTCCTGGGACCGCCAGCTCCCGTTTTGAGCATTTCCTTCTTCATATGTTGGTTTTTTGGAGTTTTTCTATTCGAAATAATTCACTATACGTTTGAAGAATTTTATAAAATTTACTCCAGAACCCCTACCTAAAACGGTCTTCCGAACTCGACGAAGAATCAGAGCTTGATGAACTTTTCCTGCGGCGTCTTGTGAAGATTCTTCTGCTTCTCCTTTCACGTAACACATACGTTTGCACTAGAAATGAACGTGTTTCTAGTACAATATTTTTTCAAATTCATATTTTAAAAAAGTTAAGCCTTCAAATGACCAAAGAAGGGATTTATATGATTCAAAAAGCCTTTGAAAACAATACATATCTGTATAAGGTTCCACTCAGAATTCACTTACTTGCTTTGGGTGCAGCTTTTAGTGGTCTATTTCTCAATGAGTATTTTCGCCCGCCTTCGTCTTCCTCAGTCTCTAAGCTCTCCGATTCCGTCTCTTTATCTCTCTCATGATTTATGTTTTGTCGAATGCGAAGTCGGCTTTGTCTAGTGTTTCTCCTAGCCGTAACCCTTTCTTTTGTCACCTGTTCTTCACTACCGGATCTTTGTTGTGTAATCTTCTCTTCCATACCAGGTTCCTTAACTGAAAATGAGTATAAAGACATAGTTCTATGTATAATTTTATCCCTTAGTGTCTGTCTACCTTCTTCCTGTTTGATATCATCGACTTCCACGTCTTTGCTCGACTTGCTGTCTTCATCTGTATTTCGCTCCGTTTTTGAGCTTCTGGTTTTCAAGGGTTTTTCGTCTTCCTTATTTTCCTTGTTGTTTGAGTCGCTGTTAGTAAGCTCAGTATGGACCATTCTCACCACACGTCTTCCAGATCGACGCGTCCTACGCGCAATTGTCGGGCTATCATCATAAGCTTCGTAGTAATATCCAGGTTTTGTCATTCTTCGGGAATGTCGAGTAGCTCTTTGCGTCTGAACAATAAAACAATGGAATAATAAAATAAGACTATTGTCGATTTTATTTTACCTCTACATTTTCATCAGGCACATCGCGGCTATCTTCTTCCGAATATTCCACATTCATATTCGGATATCCTACTTTATGCATTTGGCTATCTGCAAGCCAACTTCCTTCGATATTTCTGGGTCTTCTAGTGGAACTCGGCAAAGCAACTGTTGGATACGTTAAAAGAAGTATAAATCACCAAAATTCTTATTCATTAATCAATTCAATTTAGAAATGTTCTATTGAACTCGAAATCGAGCGAAATTTACTATCACTATTCTTTCGACAAATCACAACGGAATAACAGAGTTTTTCTACTTCGCCCAGTAAAATGCCATTATTTCTTTGATACTTACTATCACTATCTGTATCCATATGGCTTGCAGAATGATCGGCATAACATTTTTGCCGAATCGGTCGCAAGGATAGGGCTGATCGTCGAAGCATACGCGTTTTTTTTGTTAGTCGATTTTGCCGATGTGTTCTAATCAACACACATAAGAGCTATGAAGTTATGAAATATTTAATGTTGTTTTCACAGAATGTACCTTGGATTTTTATAATATTCTCCTTCAGAAAAATTAGTGTTTTCTAGTAACTCGTCTTCCATTTTCCTACTGGCATAAACTGCCAATCTTCTTCGCTCTAACGATATCTGTTTATGAGTGTTCCTTGTGGATCCAGTTGCTAAATACATATACAAGTTAATCGTCAAGTAGACCTTTTATGGCTTCAAATCATATTCAGGCCTGTACATTTCTTACTGTTAAATTTTGTTTCAAACTCTCGTTGTATAGTCACGACCTTTGTGGAAACTTTTGGCTCTACAGGCTTCTTTTTCAGCTGACTTTGCGGCTTCACCAAAGGGCTATTTGAAGATGTTTCATCATCACTATTGGTCCGGTCTGAATCACTGTCTTTTTCTTTCGCACTAGTCGAACCCGAATCTTGATCTTCTACTAGTTTGGTCGATCCCTATAGGTTGACAAACTCAATATATTTACTTGTTTTTACATTCAATTTGTTATTAGAGTTAAACCAAACAAACATAAATTTTTGCTAGTCTGAAAAATAGCTAACATTACTACTTCTACACTAAATTTTTTATGGCAGGTTTCTTTCAAATGGGTTAATTATATTTCTTGCTATTTTTCTGCGTTTGTTCTATTTACAAAACATGTTATGAAGTGAAACATTAACATTCGGTTACATAACTGATAAATTCATTTTATGAATGCTTTCTCGCCTGGACAAGTTTTCCGAGCTTATAAGCCGTGGGCCATTTGAATTGCTGACGTTTGGTTTGCATCTGCGGTGAACATTATCGAAGGTGAATCGAACAAAATTAAAGTCGAAGGAAACTTTGTCTACTGACTACTGTGGCGTGCATTTGGATGTTGAAGGACCAAAGCGCGCAAATCTAAGTTAACTACTTAAATTCACAACAATTAAACCGCTTTCAAATTGAACAAAATTCACATCAGGATGGCCAGCCCGAGCCAAACCGGGAAAACTTTATAAATTAATAACAATTATACGGCTGGTTGGAATGCAATGAAATGCCTTTCTGGTCTTAACTGGCGCTGCTTAACGGCTGCTAAAAAATTAAAACAGTGGAGGAAAACTGTTCAAAAATGACCAAACCGCGCAAATTCGAATAAATTTCCTAAACTGATAATAACTCCACATTTAGCTGAAATGGAATCAAATTCATCCGGTACTTTCACCGAATCTTATTTGGTCAAATGCAGAAAACAGTTACTTGATACATGATCTGCGTATTGAATAATAACCCGGAAAAGAAGCCGGTGCAAGCTTCAAGCTCGGAAAACTTTTCAACCGTTAGAATCTCTTTAATATTAATTTAATTTAATCCCGTGTGACATAGGGATTTGTACAATATCGAAATGTTATCAAAATCACAAAAAACATTACTTATCAGACAGATTGTTGGAAATTTATTTAAATTTTGCTGATAATTCTTGGTGGCGACCACTTACTTCTGGTCATTTTAAAATTGCGCAATGATGAATGAAGTAACGGGATCTCACTTTAGGACGTACAACGTAAAATACCAATCGGGCTTTCAGCAACAATTTTTAATACATTCGCTTTAATATTTTACTGATATAATATTCTCAACCACTTAGCGAATAGGATAAAGTCACCTACCCTTGTTCGGTGATGGTGACCAGAGTGTGACTCCGAACGTCGAGTGTTCACCATTTTTTATCCAATGGCTGCTATCGACATTAAACTATTATTTAAATTCACTATCCAATGCTTAAGAAACAGTGCATGTTAATAAAAGCCGTGAATCATGCTAACGTGAGTGAAAAAATTTCGAAGCAAATAAAGTTATGTTTTGAGTTCTTTCCAACCTTTCGAAACACTCTCAAGTGTTTGTGAAAATATTGCATTTGTCAATCAGATACTTTTTACCATCCAAAGCAAATTAAAAACCTTTAAAAGTTACCCAGCAAATTGTGATAGCTTTTCATACAATGTAAAAACAAAACGAAAGTTTAGTTAGAACGACAAATAAATGTATTAATTAAAAGTACAAGTAAAGTGTGAAGACTAGTAGTGAGAAGATGTGAAAATAGTTAAATGCATACAAAAGCGATTAAAATAATTGGATTCAAGCAATCACTTTTGTATATTGGCGGACCGCATTAAAAAAGTTCTTTCCTTGCTTACATTATGTCTATGCAAAGCAAAGCAACGTTTTTTTAGGAATTCCGTTGACACAAATTCAAGTTTTCAAAAAATCCTCACATTAAACTTCAATAGAAACCTTTGGTGAGAGGTGAGTTAAATATTTAGAAAACACTCTTAAAGAAACCATTGTATTCTTAAAATTATTGTTTAGCCCTCGATTTCTTGGGAGATAATACCACTTGACTACACAATAGTTCAGAAAGTCTGTTAAGGGATTGGCGATTTCGATCACTTTATTGAGAATTCGAAAAGAGTTAGGCGACCTTAAAAGACCTTACTTTGAAATTAACTATAGACAACTGAACCACAAAAAAACAAGGGATACATATTATTTCGACTCCACATGGGTGGTTCTACACAAAAATAACTGATTAACAGTTCCAATAGATGTATTACCTTAATGCCCTGTGAATAGTGTTGTTAAAATTATTTAGTAACTGGAAAATCTCCTTACAACCGAACAAAGAGTGAGCAGCAACCTCTTCACGGTACAATCATAAAAATCAATAAACCCAGACAATCAATGCAGCGAAAAACTTCTAGTCCTGGATTTTAAATATGTGTTTTAGTTATGCAATGCGATTACAATAAGAAATTGCATTTATTCAAGGCAGAAAATCCATTCATAGCTGCAAGGCCAAACCTAAATGCATGCACTACTCTACGCCATTGCAGTTCTGAAATGAGAACGATGGCTGGGTTTGGTATTACTTAATTTAGCCCGATTTAAGCCGTGGCTTCTTGGCTAGAAGCAATTTAGATTATTAGATAGTGAAAAGTCAGAGAGGTGGTAAATTAAACAACCGAATGTGGTTTGTTTAACTATTTCCAAACAGCTCTACCCAAAACAATAGCGTGATAAGGAACGAAAAATCCACCGATTACTACTGAGACATCAGGATTATTCCCCTGGCCAAAAACAAGAATTACATTTAAAGAACTGTACTTACCAACTAGACACAGAGGTTGTCCCTTTTTTGTTAGAAAAACTGTTTAATCGCAAGCAAAACATAAAACTCACAACTGAAAAACCACACTTATTTTCCCCGAGCTCGGATTGTCACTGGTCGTTGTCACCGTTAGGCGCGTTGTTGCCGTAGCTGCGTAGATTCATACCGATTCAATAGTGTTGTTTTGCGATATCGACGGTTTCTCTTTTAATAAGAGCTGCTTTTGCCTTTAAAAACCTTCTATTGGGTTTTGTGCGAAAGCAATTATCGTATGTAAAGAATCAAGCTCAAAATATCATTTTAGTTTTCTGGGCGTGGTCTTCAGTGACGTCATTAGGAGGTTTTTCAGCAAACCATCTCTAAAGATGCAAGCTTTTGTTTACCTAAAGGCTCGAGAACTTTACCAGTTTCAAGCGATAATTGCCAATAATAAATTGTTTTTTGATCCCCATTAATGATTGGTAAAAACAAGCACAACAGAAACAAGTTAAAATCAAGTTGTAAATTTTTAAAAGCTAATTAGAAAGTGTTGAAATACAACATACAAACAGCCTTCCACTTTTGTAATGGAACTTAAAATCAGTTCATTTCAAAACGTTTTTTCTTTATAGTTTATTAATAAAGTTTACAGTTTCGACAAAAAATAATAAAATAACCATTTTTTCCTTCGATGAAAGGCAGTTTTATAGGAAATAATTATCATTAGCAGTAGTTTTACTTAGGAATATTTTTTTAAATGATGGTACATACAACCAAAGGATAACTATTTGATACGCTTGCCTTTTTTGTCTTAATTTGATAAACTTATAATATGCTTTGATTAATGTAACATCTTGGCAATGCTCTAGCAAACATCCACGTGTCACTAGTCACTAGTCAAAATCAGCTGCTACTTAATGACAACACTAAACATTTTTGCATTGTTTTCAAATACATTATTGCCCCTTAAACAAACAAACTGAGACTATTGTAAGATAAATTAATCTCAAGAACAGGCGAAATCCTGATATCGGATCATAAATGATATTAATGACCTATCAACAGGGAGATGAGACTGAGAAATTAACCGGTTTTTAATTGTCTTTCTAAATCTCCTCATGCCTCATTGCAAGTAGATACCGGGCCTTTGAATATAATTATAAACATTTAAAGATGTTTAATTGATTGGAAATGGTCTAATTTTGCATAGTCATTGCATTGTTGCTCGGGACAGGTACTGATCTTATTCGAACTGAGTGAGATGCTTACAATCAACCAGTTTATTCAATTCATCAAAGACAACACAAGTAAGTGAGTGTAATGACCCATACAAATAAACCAAGTAAATAGATTTGTTGTGTTTCAGTTGACTATGTCGATTTTGACTATTCCCTATGGTTAACCTGGTGCTTAACACCCCTGGTGGTTACATTCCTGCTGCCTGTAGTAATCGCTCTATTGCTCTATCTAAGCGCATTCACATTGTACATTTATAAGCTGCATTGGGGCCGGCTGCGAACCGCTTTAATCACTGGAGATAAATGGGAGGCCGCTCGAAAAGTTGTGGCAATTATTTGGGATGCACATGGCTGGATTTGGCATGGTAAGTATTAGCAAATCACTAAGAAACACTGTATAATGGACATTGTTATCGCTGGACTTAATCTGTATTTCGCAATTTATTCACATTAGGATACGAAATTAGTGGCCTAGAAAATTTGCCGGTAAATGGACCAGCTCTCCTTATTTATTATCATGGAGCGATGCCAGTGGATATTTACTATTTCTTAGCGAAAGTTTACCTTTCGAGGAACAGAATCGTTCATACTGTGGCTGATCACTTTCTATTTAAAATACCAGGTTAGTTCCAGTGGTAATCGTACTAAGTAAAACTCAGTTATCTCGGTTTAGGTTTCAGTATACTTTCCGATTGTATGAGAGTGATACCGGGAACTGTCCAGTCTTGTTCCAAGCTGTTGAAAGAAGGAAATTACCTGGCTATCGCTCCTGGTGGCGTATATGAGGCGCAATTTAGTCTCAATTATAGCTTAATGTGGAAGCGACGGTTGGGCTTTGCCAAAGCGGCTTTAGAGTCTAAAGTTGTAAGTAAAACTTTGCTTGCCAGCCATTTTTTACTTGCATGCATTTTGGTTTTTAGCCGGTGATTCCAATATTTACTGAAAACTTGCGGGAAGCCTTTCGCACCATGCATTTAGGGCGCAGGTTGTTTTTAAAACTATACACATGGACTAAATTACCATTTGCCCCAATTTACGGGGGATTTCCAGTCAAGATGGTAACACATATAGGACGGCCTATTTACTACGAGCCTGATCTGTCGCCGGAAGATTTGCAGATGAAGGCAAGTATATTTCATACAGTCTGGTTAATGGAACGAAGAATTTGCGTTGATTGTTTTTAGGTAGCCGCTTCACTGGAAGAACTGATCAAGACACACCAAAGGATACCGGGCAATATTTTACTATCCATTCTAGATAGAATACCATATCTTAGAAAACGCCTTAAATCAGGCATAGTGCATCGCTTTGTTTAAATTAATGGAGTTATACCAAGGTGTGCTTTAGGTTACATGTACGGGGATTTCCTTATACGTAATTTACAGAAACGCTTTAATGATCAACTATTTTGTATACCGTATTTTAGGTGAGTTGCAAACGGAACTTGAATGACGTACTTATTTTTATTGACCTTTTACTTTATCCGATATTTTTCCAGACAGTTTATTTGTTCTGTTTGCCTTTTTAAAGCAAATAATTTCTCAAGATAAATATACATATTTATTGTTTAGTTAATAGTTTTTTTTTCTGATCGATATCGGTAACCAACAATTTTTAATAGTTGAAATGAATATAAAAATTTCCATTAGTGAAAAAATTTAAGATCACTTAACATAGTGTTAATTGAGTGGTTCACAAGGTCGAAGTGCGGACATATAATTAGGTTTTAATGGCCTAACGTGAAATCGGTGTTGAACTTTGTTTGATCTTCTTGAACATTCGCCTGAATTTAAAAAGTATTGGAATTATATTTGAGTCAATATTTTTATCATTAGAGAATCTTCTCTCAATTTAAAGTTAAAAACGAACTCATTTACTCAGATTCTCCCGCTAAGTCGAGAGGATTAGGAAGATCTTCAAAATATGGCAATAATAGAGATTTAAAATTAAATATTTTTTATTTAATATTTATTATACTGTTACTTATTACAGATTGGTCAAAGTATGAAAGTTTTTTAATGTTACAAAGAAGCTACACTTAATATGTATAAACCTATTAAATACTTTTGTTGTCACCGGATTAATTTAGGAAGCCTCTGCCTAGTTGGATACCTTTACAAAGTTCTGTTCATCCAGGATTTTGTACTGATCCTCCCTGAAGTTCACTAGATCATCATAGAGCCGCTTCACACTTAAATCCCTCAGTTTGACTAGTACTGGGGGAATGGGAGCAGTTTGCGCATCATGAGCCAGCTCATTGTAATAAGACTGTTGATCCGGACCCATCATGTGCATTTGGCGCTTCGTGTACCCCTTCGCTTGACGATTTTCCATATCTTCTTGAGTGTGCACCCTCATTTCTTCCGCCGATGGCAGACTCATCAGCCCGTTAAGGTACTTACAGTAATACCTTGCCTGGAACCCAGATTGATTTAAATACATCTATATATTAATATTATCCAGTGAAGCCCATTACCTGTAGATCAAACATCTGGAAAGTACACACATTGAAGGGTATTCCAATGAAACACATGGTGGGCTTGTCTATGTGAATCATGTGCTTGTAGAGGGGTTGAATGTGATTATCATCGATGGAGATTTCGCAGGAATCGTGCAGGAATGGGAAGCTGTATCTGTACCCGGTACAGAAGAGTATAGCGTTGAAGCCACAACAAGTACCGTCGATAAACTCCACCTGCCATTCAATACAATTGTGGTTTTATTTATTTATTTACATTTTCCTCGAAAAAAATGATTTTCTTTTGTCTGCAATTACAGTTAAGCCGCGATTATTTATTATTCGATTTCTGCAATTACAGTTAAGCCGTTCAGACTTAATGCGATGTGAGCGCGACATCACCGCGACGCGCACCTTGATGATGGATGGTAATGGACAATGGAATTGGTACTGTATAGTGGGTGAAAACGAAATAAGGAAAATAGCCGCAGTTTTTTTACCAAGAGAAAATTGAGTCACACATTTAGGTACAAGGTAACGCCATTATGTCAAATACAATGCCACCTTTTTATGCATATCTCAGCCAAAAATTGAGTTGGTGCCCTCATTTTTACACCTGTAGAAAGAGAATTAACTAGCGGACTTAAAACTTGAAATCTAACTAAGAAAAAAATTGACATTTTTAGTCAAAAATGCGAAATTTTTGCATAATGTTTTAGTTTTACGCGGTTTTGACACAATTGGGGCTTAATTCAAAAACTATCTGAGTTAGAGCACTCTATTTTCTACAAATCGATAGATAAAATAAATGGAAACGCCATTTAGTAAGTGAAACTTGTGTTAGGCCACAAATGGACATTTTTCACATATTAAGCGATGGAGGTGAATATATTAGCAAAATGAACTGTTTTTGCCCTCATAATATTGCTTAGGCATTTTTGATACACAAAAATAACACATACAAAGAAAATGCATCGGTGAATTAAAATCATCACTTGAAAAAATTCACATCATCTGTCAACACTCGCCACAAAAAAAACAAATCAATAATTTTAACTTCCATACTTCCACGGATTGTAACAATCTGTTACAAAGACATACGATAATAACATAAAGTTTCTGTCTCGCTCGGTGGACAAGTAATAGCAAAAGAACGACAATGATTACGTCACTGCCAAAAAACTTGGGACAGATTATACGTGGTATACCACGAGATCATCGTAACTGTTGCAACACTTGCGGCGCGCTAAGTCTAAACCCGGCATTAGTCAATTGTGTAACGATGGATGGGCAGGCAAAACGCTGCGCCAATCGCTCCCTTAAAATGAAAAAAAAATCGGGTTTTTTCGATTTTAGAGCGGAAAATTGTTGAATTTCCTAGATAGTAAATTTTCCTCCATCGCAATGTGGTTTTTTCCCGACCGATAGTGCGAATTTAATAACACAACGGATTTTTTAAAGTTGAACATTTTTCTGACGTTTTCTAACAAGTTTGCACAAACATTTGTCATGCCACCAGCCAATATTTATGAAATTAATTGTGCGGGTGTGAAGTGTTGAAGACATTTTGGAGTTTTCCTCAGCGTTTTGCGGACTTTGTCACAGTGGAATGGACTATTTGAACACAGAAATGCACAACTCTATCATAGGAAATTGCACAGAATCTGTCCTTTCCATGTACAAGGTAAACTAGATGTCTAAATAAGGTGTATGTAAACGAACGCAAGTTACCAAGACAAAAATTCCATAAAAACCTCCAGCGCCTAAATCAGAGTTTATTTGTCGAGCCTTGAATCAACTGGAAACTCACGAAATCAATGGCGCATGAACTTCTTATAAAAAATTCCTCAATATTCAATCCAGAGCGGGTCAATTTAATCGAATAATAAGTTGATCATTTTTTAAGAACAATTTAGTGCTGATTTTTAAATCAACGTTCGTCTTATCGAAAGAAACATAATTCTGAACACATATATGATTCAAATTCAATACTTTACCTTGTCGAAGTCCAGAATACGTTTAATGTCGGGTCTAATTTCCACATTGGCTGGATACTGGGTTTTAATGGGTTCGGCTACTCGGTGACTGAGCACAACCTGCAAGGAAACGATTTCTTATGATTAACGGTTTTAAATTTCATCACCACAAAGTAAGAGCAAAACTTCCAAAGGAGTGAAAATATTCATATACAGAGTGTCCCAACTGTTGAACATGCTAGAGCGTATAGAGGATCTGAAAATAAGGCCAGTGCTTCATTTTTTTCTAATTTGACTTCCTTATGAAATTATGGGTCTAGATATGGATAAAACAACCTGCTTTATATATTAAGTTTTACTTAATAATTTTTTTCAAATTTACTCACCATTAGATTTGTACTTATTATAGAAGTATTTTTTCGCAAAAAAAATTCACGGACCCCCAAATAAACCGTTTAATAATTAAGAATAGTTAGTTTTTCATCTTGTCACTTTGAAGACATATACTTTTTCATAAGGAAGCCAGATCATAAAAAAATTATACGAAGTACTGGCTTTATTTTCAGGTCTTCTGTTCGCCCTGATCATCATAATTGACCAACAATTTCGGGACACCCTGTATCTATAGGGGCGGGTTCTTAATAAGATTACTTACGTAATCGGCTACTGAAGAAATGTGCAGAGTCAGATCAAGTCCTGATGGTCCCGCTCCCACTACAAGCACTTTTTGTCCTCTGAACCGTTCGGGGTCCCTATAATTGTGACTGTGCTCTATGGTGCCGGCAAAAAGCTCTTGACCTGTAATTATTGATCATTTGAAGGCTCTGATGCTTAAAAAAACTCATAATAACCCACCTGGTATGCTGGGCGTTATTGGGTCATTATAGTGACCATTGCAGATCATTACAGAATCATACAAGTTGACGAATATTTGTCCAGTCGGTTTGTCCACGCAAGTTATTTTCCATTGATTGTCTACGGGGCGCACATCCATTACCATCGTGTTACACTAGTGAGATAAAAGACAGAAAAGTCAGTTGCGTAAATATGTAATTTAAGGCAACAGTTGGGTAAATTATTGTTGATTTATCGAATTTAACAGCGTTTAATCAAAAGCTGTCCGTTCAAAGTATGTCGAACGATTGTGTTGCTATTGTGCTGTGTGGGTGTTTGTTTCTATCAATTTCTTCAAAGTCAATTTTTTACAAATTCTGTTAATTTCAAATGTCCTTATAAAGGATCCCTTATTATTTCTACCTGACAACCTTCTTTATACGCCAGTTTTTAAATTGGAAACAATTATAAAAAATTTAGTTAATATGTACCTTGATATATTTTTTCAACCCAAAGTTTTCGGCGTAGAGATTGAGAAAATCGAGTATTTCCGCTTGGGTTAAGTAGGATTTTTTTTGTTCCGGTATGGGAAAGTCCGGATAACCCATCACTTCCTTCGGCARGTTGGTTCTGAAAGTAAAAACCCTAAATAAAATATCCAGAAGATAGAAGATTATAGAATAATTTTTATCACGCGACTTGATTTGGTCGAGAAGTAGCATAAATAGGGGATTTACTTTTTTTCATCTTTATTTAACGTTAGGTGCCCTGCATATTCTRTTGCACTAGCAATAATCAATACAGCAAAAATGTTAATTTCTRTTTCGTTGTAAATAATTAAAATAGCAGAAARAAACGATGGTAACAATTAATTTAAGCATATCAAACCGGAGACGCAGGTTGATACAGTTCTATGATTAATTTTTTTTATATTATTTTAATATTAGTTGTGTTAAGTTTTTGTGAATCAAACAAATTAAAAATTTATATTGCTATCSCATCAACTGAATCATTTTTTTAATTATTAATTTGTAATGGTTTACAACTCGTTRCATAACAATTATCGTTATTTGAATAGTAAATATTTCTGCTTTCATGTAAGATACGTGCGGGCGTCTTGGATAAAACAAGTCGAGTATATTTTCAAGACGTTCGGCGGCCTTTTCCAAATACTAATTATCGATAAAAATTTAACAATCTCATTCATTTTTAATTACACATGCTCTAATCCGAAGTGCCTTTGTTGTAATGTAAAATATTATTTGCTAAATTCTTATCGGCAGACATGTTTTCCGAATGATATTATTTGTGCATTTTTTCAGTTTAATCTCATTACACAATTATTGTTCGATAATTGGAGTTGAACAGTTGTTATGTAGATTTGTGGATTAATGTTGAAATAAGACAAAACGCTCGATTTAAAATACTTGATTTGATTAAGTCACTAATAAATTAACGGAGCAATAAGTCCATGACTTTTATGATAGGTAATTAAGAGCAGCAAAGTATAGATGAATAAATAACACTTAATTTAAATTATTTTCAGTGTCAAAATCATGTAATAAATGCGAAAGCTGGTTAAAGACCCGATCCTTTCCAAGGTAAATAAAAGTCCCAGAATATTCGGTTTATTTTTGCTTCATTTATCAGCAGGGTATTTTTATACTTCAATGATCTTTCAGAATCCATATGAACAGTGTGCATGAATCAAATTAAAGCGACAAATATGAATTGCCATACATTAGGAAACTTACAAGACTCTCTCACCGTTTCCAACTATTCACTTTAAATTAGTGGAAACTTTTCTGTTGGCATGTAAGAACTTCATTCAAGGCTGTAAGAAAATTTAGTCAAATTCACGCGCTTGTTTCATGAACGATGAAAATCGATGTCTCAACGTAAATAAATTTGTACTTGAAGTTGAAAACAAGAGTTTTAAATTTACTCCAGCTGCTAGGGCATGGCGCCAACAGAAAGTGCAATTATCACTTTTCAAATTGCCGCTCAAAGTAGCATTTTATAAATAATCTGATGTTAAGTTCATGAAATCAAGTGATGGTTGTTTGGCCATTTACACGATTGCAATGGCTAATGTTCGTTTATATTTAATTAAGGACTTTCTATAATATAACTAATTACTTAGTCATAGCCACATTTATTTAAAGTAGGTATAAGTTTCGAAATTACCTAACGTGTTTCTGTGGCCAGAAAACACATAGGTATGTCCGTTTCGTAAATCAGTCTTTTGAAAACATATTTCTAAACGAAAGGAAGTGAAAGTCTGCAAATGTTTCGAAGAAGGTTCGCAATCACCTAGTTTTTCTTTGACCAGAAATCCCATATATTCGTATTTTAATTAGCAGGTATTTTTAATTAACGTTTAATCTCTTCTAGGCACATCATTTTAATGGAAATAATACAGGATTTCTTATGAAGAATAAATTTTATTCAACATTGTTTTTTATTAATTAGTTTAAGAAATATTGATCACTTTCAGGAATTGGAAATAATTTTGCGATTGTACTTTAAAAGCAAAAAAATGGAATATTTAAATGTACTGATCAGGTCTTAAAAGATTCAACTATGAAAAGCGGATAAAACCTTTTTTTGAATGAGTTGAGATTTTATTTTATTTTATCATGCAGCTAAGGTCGTTTTTCAGGCAAAATCTAAGCGAAATTTTCAATTTCTGCGCTAAACCACCGCAAGATTAATCGGATATTCTATTAAACTTTACGGTTTTCGTAAAAACCCCCACGGCAAAGCACTTACCTCAATCCTTTGTACATTGCTGAATAAACCGGATATCCATATCGGTCCTTTCCAACATCGTCAGTGTAAACCCATGTGCCTCCAAGTTGGGCACCCATTTCAAAGACATCCAGATCGAATCCATAACTGGACACGTGCCGGGCAGCTGCTAGTCCAGCAGCTCCAGCTCCAATAATACCAACGCGCATTTTCGAAAAATTGTTTGAAAAAAATCGACGAAACAAAGTCTTAACAAATTCAACTGAAGTCGATATTGCGATGAGCGTTCAGCGAAAGTCACTGATTGAATGAGTAGAGCAACACAGTGGCGTATTGGGTTTTATTTCATGGGGAGGTGATTAGCTGTTGGTATTTATGATAGTGCCAAGAAGTAATTGGAATGCTGATAAACAATGTGATTTGCTTATTAGAAATAATTAATTCCGCTTGACATGTTTAAGAAAATATGTAGCAAAAAGAATTGGAATTTTGCTTGATAAAAGTTGATAGCATTTTTAAAACCACTTGGGATTATACCAGAAGAACTAAATTTATTTATTTCAACTGTAAAAGACTTGGCGTTTCTAAAACCTACCTAGTTTTAATTTAAATATAAAAAGTACAACTTCTTAAGGGATCTTTCCCGATAAACAATTTGTTTAATTGATTTCTGTACCTATACCTTTTTTCTCCGTATAGTTTTTGCAGTTAGCAGTTACGTAACATACGAAATAATGTGACTATTTTAATTACTTCCTTAGATGTTTACGCAAAAAAAATTATTAATAATTCTTCTCAATAACGTTTATATTCGGATACGAAGTATATCAGGTTTTACTTGAGATATGGCTTTTGACCCTTAAACATCATCAGCTTAAATTAAAATTAGACCGCCGGTCTGTCTGTTATAACCACTATAATTTATTATAAGTTATCTAATTGCAAACTTTCCCGCATCATCAAAAACTTTTTAAATTTTTTTCAATTATGGCTTGTATCAAGGTTCTGCGAAGGTCTGTTTGATGGAAAAATTGATAAAAATATTTTGAGGTTTGAGTGTAAACTGAGTGTAGCAACTTTCAACAAAGTAAAAATAATCAGCGTTAAATCGTTGCTTGTTTCCGATTTTCCGGGTTTCTTGAAAAATATTTACAGATGCTAAATGGTTGAGTATTTAAAGATTTACTTGCAGTTCAGACGTTTTGAGGTGATTGCCAAGAATGAGCTTTTAGCATGCACCTATATTTCTATTCTATTACATATTAGATTTTGCATTTTATTTTAGTGTGTATAACGTTGGATGAAAAACGCGAAAAGTTGTAAAAATATCAGTTATTCTAAGATTTTTTTTCAAAACACTTATTTTTGGTTTTAAATCAGATTTATGCTATTTTCTTTATTTTGTTAAATACATTGAGGTGTTCTTTTATTTTATTAGAATTTAACAGTCACTATGTTTGAGTGCGCTTAATAGCGCCATTTAAAAAAATGTGTTATGTGTTCTGCAAGGTGGAATCGCTTTGAATTAATCTTTACATTTACTCTCCTAAATGGATATTCATATTTAATCAGCATCTGCCACAGCAAATTTAATTTAATTAACTTGAAAATGTGCCTACTCCTGTACGGTTTTTTTCTTTTCTTTTAACTCTCTTATTTGAAGTAAAACTGGCCAAATTAGATAAATATGTAATAAACATTACAGAAAATCAAACATATTTTTTCAAGTACATACATATGAAAGATGATATTTTCTATTTTGATTGATTAAAGGCTTTAAATTGGTCAATTAATCAGCTATATGCACATACATAACTTCGGTAAAGTACGCAATTTCGTACAGATATTTGGTCTGGGAGTTAATTGTAATTAACTCAATTTACTTAAAATTCCAAAAATAACCGCGTTTATTTTTTAGACAGGTGTTTTACTACTCTCAGACTACGAATGTTGCATCATGTAAACATACACACACGTTCACATCTGATGCAACAAATCGCAAAACTACTCCAGCATATTTTGAGTTTGAGTGTCGTATTTATGGACCTGTCTGATGTGGGTTTCGTATGTAAGTGTAATAAAATACTTTCGGGTCACTGATTGAACTTGCCATTATTGATCACTGCCCTTGGAACTATGTGGATCCGGTCCAAATCACTGAAGAAACTTGAAAACATTTTTTTTGCATTTTTGATAGACACATATCTAGTTACTGGAATAGTACGTAACATTTTCGGGTTAACAAAAGCTAAAAAACAGGTAATTTGGAAAAAAGTTATCTGGAATAAAAATCTAAAACCAAAAGATCGAACCGATCAAAGAACAAGCGGGATCAACTTTATCGAGCGTTAGAAGGATAAGTGAAAATGCTTCAAATTTAATTTAAAGAATGTCTGCAATGACAATTGTTGCACAGTTTTCAGAAGCATAAAAACGTCTTTTATCAACAATTTTTTGTAGCTTATTTTAACAAATAATTTGTTATAAACATTTAACAGCATAAAAGCAAAGCGAAAAAATTGCTTGGCTCTAATCCGAAAGAGGATTGTGAGTTGTAACGGGAACTTTTAGAAAATACATTTCAAAACGTATAATTTCTGAAGAAAATTTGAAAATTTGTCAACAGATTTTTAATAATTTCGAGAAAGTTTGTGCAAATGTAATCCAGCTAAACTGAAGAATAAATCTTAATCTTACTTTGAAAACGAGTATTTTTATACGTTTTTCTAAATGTTATTTTATTTCGTAGTTGGTAGAATTTTGGGCCATCCTGTAAATTGGTGCAAAATGAATGAATATTTTTAGTATTTTTAGTTTCAATTCCAGTTCTCGAATGCGCCTTTAAAAAATCATTAGTTAATAGACCGCTTAGTATTTATCAATAATCTGAATTAGTTTGTTAAGTGTGTTATCATTTGTGTGCTAGAAATGTTTTAAGTTTCTGGAACAATCCGGATTGAAGCGATTCTACAGGTCACGAAATCATCAATCGGATTTGGTTCAATAGTGGAATGACAAGGAGTAAATATTTACATTTTTACACACGGAGTCCTCAGTTTTTTTTTAAATGTATTTTTATACATATACCGAAAATAAACCGAGATTAGTCTTTCTGCAAAAAATGTATTCAAAAAGAACTGCTTATTCTGATTATAAAATATAAAATCCGAATACATCAAAGATAAATAATTTCGAAACGAATTTCTTAAATACGCATTTTTGACGATAAACTATTCAAAGTTCTACAAAATTATGTCAATTCGTGAATGGAAATATAATGAGTAAATTATGCGCAAATAGCGGCTATTAAGGTTGAGAATGACACCAAATTCCGTAATATTTTTAGCAAAATAGTGTAGTGTTGCTTCCATGATAATTGAGTTATGCTGGATTGCTTAATAATAAAGCAACTTACATTTGCTTTTTTCGAAATATAGAAATATTCATCCAGTTTGTTCAAGGTTTATTGCATTATTGGACGTTTATCAATGCATATTGAGAGAGGACAATTTAATTTAGGAATAAGTCACAGAGTGATTTAAAAAAATATTTGAAATATTCTAGGTAGAATTTTGTGCCGCGCATTTACTGAGTGTTATTTTCAATTATTTTAATAGTTATTTATTTTGTCGCAAATTTTCCCCAAAAACGTTTTGCTGAACAGCAATTATCTGTTATTTGTGTTCTATTCACGCGTTTATAACTGTTTTTTTTTCGCAATTTCAAGCTATTGCATGTTTTATAGACAATGACGTCGATATAAAGTTTACAGATGATGAAAATATTTGCAAGATCGTTGCAAACGCGAATGTTGACGATCTTGAACCTGTTTTGTTGATCTTTTTCAGAAGGGCAATAAATAAGGAAGCCGGCGATAAATAGCCATATATAATTATGTGGTTTGTCATCAGAGCCTTGACGATTTCTTTGTGTTGATGAACTCATTAACATCAAAAGTCCCATTTTTGTGCAACAACTATTTCAATTATTCATTTATGCTTTTGCCATACAAAGCCATTTTTTACATTTTGTTACCACTTTATGAAGTTGAATTACTGAAAACCACCTTTCAAATTTCGGCAAATTTTCGGAATAGTAGAAAAGTCAGTCACGTGATTTGTATGATCGAGTTACTACGCTAATGGTGAAATAGTAAGCATTAATACTTCAAGTCGTTTTCAAAATATCGTCAGATCTTGAAGTTTTTTTTAAGATTAAAAGACATATAACAGACTGCGTTTGAAACGCACACAAAATCAAATTCAGTCTCTACTCAAATGCATCTTGTACATGGTTGAAAATACCGATTAATTTGACTTGAAAAAATCTACATTTACTGGCCCATTTTATGCAAAAAATAATTTAAATAACACTTCGTATATTTCTTAAGCATCTCGCATACTTTCCCGAATACGTTAAATGTACCCTGTTTGCAGATTTCATCGTTATTTGGACAAGAAAAATAAAGCACCCTTGAAACGAATTCGCCCACCGCATTGTGGAACAAGCGAACTAATATTTTAAACTTTCTTACTATTTAATTCCATTCAAATATCAACCGTAATCAATAACAACAGTAATGATGTAAAAAATGACTGCGCCTTCAACTGTTTAGTTTTTAAATTTTTGTCTTGTTCATCTCTCTGTATGTAATTGCGATGTATTTCGTATCGTTCCTTTTAATTGAGGTCGGTTTAGGTTTACTCTTCTTCCATATTGACCGAAGAACTTTCACCATTTGGTTAAGATGCGGTTACATTTTGCACTTGTCCACAACTCTCATTAATACAAACTTGGTAGAGATATCGTCTAAAGACTGTCCCAATGAAAAGCTAATTTAGATGATCCGTTGGAATGGAAGATTTTTAGTCAAATTCATTCAGGTCTTTTATGAATATTTATTTAAAATACATAACATATCCTGCCTGGCAAACAGTTACATTTCGGCAGGTAGATACCAGTCAATTGGTTTTTTGCCTTGGTCTTCTAGCAATGAATTGGTTGTAGAAAAATGCTTACACCCTAAAAAGCCGCGATGAGCGGATAATGGAGAGGGATGTGGCGCCTTGAGGACATGGTGTTTCTTCGGGTCGATTATCGCTGTTTTTTTGTGCGCATCGGCGCCCCATAGCAGGAACACTATTCCCTCACCATACATACTGAGCACTTTGATCACCTTATCCGTAAACTTCTCCCAACCCCGATTGGCGTGAGACTTCGCCTTGCCCTTCTGTACCGTTAGAACCGTGTTGAGTAACAACACTCCCTGTTCCGCCCATTTTTGCAGATGTCCGTGTTTTGGTATCGTAAAGTTGCTAATGGCAGGATCACTCTCTAGTTCTTTGTAAATATTCTTCAAGGAGGGCGGAATTTTCTCGCTTGGCTTAACAGAAAATGAGAGACCGTGTGCCTGGTTGGGGCCATGATAGGGATCCTGACCGAGAATTACGACTTTAACCGCTTTCAGTTCGGTGCAAAAGGCATTGAAAACGTCTTCGTCTGGTGGATAGATGGTAATTCCGGACGCACGCTCTTTGGCCACAAACTCCAAAACGTTGTTAAAGTAGGGCTGGTTTTCCTCTTCTGCGAGTTCTTTCCACGTTAGAGCTTGCGTCATTTTATATGAATAATCTACGTCCTAAAAAGTGTTTAATGGAAATCAAAAATATAGGAGCACGATTCAAAGATGTTCAATCCGTTTGAAAAATTTCATTATCGCTTGTGCTGCTACCGGCTTACAGCGATTTAGTGAGAATTTGCGGCTTTCTTTGATCATAGGACATATTTGCTGCTCGAAGTAATCAAACGCCAAATTTTTTTAGATAAAATATATTAATGTTTTTTAACATACAATTTAAGGAGTCGTAGTTTGTGAAAACATTCGGACACTGGGCTTATTGAGGTTGATCAAATTTTTCAATTTCCGGTAACTACAATAAAGCTTCATTTTTATTTAAATAACATTATACTGGGTGTTTTGTTTGAAATAAGACAGTTATAGCCAACTTCCTGTATAACCGTTCGAATCAATCAAAATTTGGTGTAATTATAACAATTGTTCTTTGTAGTGTTTTTTGTTGAAATGCGGATTTTGACCACTTTTTACTCATTAAAATTCATTAATTCATTCAAAATTAACATTTTATGGATGTATTGTCAAATTTCCGTTTTGGAGGAATTGTTACGCAGCTAACAATATTTAAAACACCAGCCATTAACCAATACTAAACCAAACTAAGGGAAACAAAAAAACTAAATCTGAAATGTGCATGTCAATTTATCCATTTTTTTCAATTTACGTTATTGTGGAACAACCATGTATCTGAAAGACTATTAACTTTTAAGTGTTTTCTTGGGCAGAATTAGCAATTTAAAAATGCTGAAAAGTGACGGTTATTTTGAACCAAGTTGGAAAAGAGACAGTAGGAAAACGTCTATTTACAAACTTATTAAAACGTCCTTATTTGTCTTCGTACATTAAACCACAGACTACTCACTATTCCGTTGGTTAACCGAAGTATTAGCTTGATACACTCTTGTACTTGCCTTATCTTATCTTCAGTACTTCGCGTTAACAGTATTCTGTCACTAACTCCTAGTGAAACTTTGTGGGTTTTTCAATGGCAACATTCAACTTTCTGAAGAAACAACAGAGTAGCGGTGCAGATAGTCAAAGAACACGCGATTTTCTTAGGTTATAGTCCTTATGTCGGCTAGTGTCATCACAGATCACAGTGTGTCTGTGATATCCTGATCCTCTGTGATCTGTGACTGTCATTTAGTAGCTGATAATTGGTACTCCGTTAAAACTGGCCGTTTGTTCTAAATATTCCTGCTTGGGGCAATTTATCATTTATTTTCGTTTATTTCTGTTGCTCTTGTTTTCTATTTTTTGCTTAGTGCTTTTTTATGTTAATTAGCTTATATCTATTATGTATACGTACGATTAATGCTTAGGTTCTGTTACATTTGGTTAATGTAGTTCTTTATGATAAGGTTTAGCTCGATATCTAGCTAATGTTTTAATAAGCAAATGCCAAAACATGAAGAAAAATTAAGACTGCCACTTGCTGGCTAGGATTAATTGAATCTTCGATAAAAGTATTTAATTATATATTCATTACGCTTAAAAATTAAAATTATTTAATAAAGAAAAGCTATACGGTGCAGGTATAAGTACAGGCTGATTGAGAATAATTAAATTTGACGTTAGAAAAAAGACACGCAGCTGAATTTAAACTGGGTTAACACAGAAGTAAACTAGGGCCATGCTTGGAAATTTTATTGAGAAATATAAAATCACATTGTTTATTTTGCATTTACCTACGATAAATAATGCTTTCATCACTTTCTTGTCTCCTCTAGTTCCTACTTGTACATTTAAAACGGCAAACTAAGCAACAATTTTGTAAATACAGCTAAATTATGATATACGTACAAACCTGGTAACAATGATGCATCAAACACTATAACTTTCCTAAATGTTTCACTTAATTTCAGTAAATTCTTCGTCGTTCAATATTCTATACCTTTTATCAACATTTCGATTATTGCTCAGCACCTCGTAGAGCCTATGAATTACCGGTCTAACTTTTCTGATTTTCACTGTATTTGCCAAATCTTCGAAATAAGTCCGATGTAGAGGCATCCCAATAAGGTGGACATGATGGGGCGGTACTGCTTTTAGATGGACGTCCTTTAGTATATCTGTCACCATTTCTTCTCGGAAAAAGCGAGACGGATTTTTGATAAATTCAAGAAAGAATCGCACCTAAAACGTTTAAAGCTGTTAAGCTTTTAAAGATACCTAATTGGGATTTATACTTGAATATCGAATGTTGGAAACGGGCACACTTTGAAAGTGATCCCAATAAATCCCATTGTGGGATGATCTACGTTAACAATGTGTTTGTAGAGGTATTTTACCCAATTATCTTCTACTCGAATACCGCATTCGGGCGTAAGGAATGGGTAAGAATATTGGTAGCCTACAAATCGAAATTGGCATTTATGAAAAGCAATAAACTAAATTAAAATGAAAAAGGCTAAATCAAATCAGGTTTTCAAATAATTTATATCTCAGTAGTAGAAAGCAGAAAGTAAATTAACACTACTTTCACAGTTAGGACACTCACCTATCGTCGCTCTCTCCCTCAACTTGATTTTTTCTTAAATGCTTCGCTTCTGTGTAAATCATACCCCATTAAGCTTTTTAAGAATTTTTTAGTTGATTTTTAAATTTCAGTATTAAATTAAAGGCTCAACCGAAAGTAATTCGAAACGTATTTGTAACCACGTTGTATTCATTACTGGCTCAATATTAGAGTGTTTGTTCATCTGGTCGACTACATCTCATATACGAGAGAACGGCGTTAAATAAATTAAGAATTTTCTTAAGCATATTTCACAGTGACTTCGGAAGAAGTCTATCTTTATATGGACGTTTAGACCAACAATGTTGAGAACTGTACTAAATTAAACCTTAATCTCAATCGGTTTATACCAGACGTACCTTTTATCATTGTCCGCAGGATTAAATGTTTTTAATAATTAAGCGTTTTACCTGTGCAATATATAACGTTGTCTATTTCCTCTTCAGTTTCATCCGTAAACTTAACTTTATCCGACTCAAAGCTTTCAACAAGGGGTTTATGGATCACGTAGTTTGGTGTTTTAAAGAAAAATGTCCCTCCGTAACTAATGAAAACCTTAAACAGTGCATTTCTGCTTAATATTAAAATGCAATTTATTTTATTTTCAGTGAATCATTTCATTGTGATAACACATCGTTGATAGGCAATTTCAATGAACATTGTAGAAGCACAATGAGTTATTGTAAATAATAGTCTGTACCCTTTTTGTACTTTTTACATTGGCAATTTTTCAGTTCAAATAGTTCTTTTTTATTATTTTTGACGATTTAGTAACGCTTACTTTGTCCGCAACTTTGCCCACAAGTCTGGCTATATCAATGCCTGAAGGTCCAGCTCCAATTACAAGGACTTTTTTCCCTTCGTATGCATCAGATTTTCTATAGTTGTGGCTGTGGATTGCTTTGGAACCTAATAGTTCCATTCCTGAGATCTCAGGCAACTTTGGAACTGAATAGTTGCCGATACAAATCATAATTGCGTCAAATGTGTGGTCCGTGATTTCTTTCGTTTTGAGATTTTCTTCCTTGAACGCCCATTTATTATTTGGGAGCGGATTTACTCTGATAACGTGATGTAAAAACTGCAATTTATAGGTAAAAAAATAGTTGACGTTCATTAATTATTAAGCCATGGGAATACTTTAATGTACGGATGTAAGTTGTAGCGGTCAGCAAATCGTTCTATGTAGTTTAGAACTGTCTTCTGATCAATGAAAGATTTATCTACTTCGCTGTAAGGAAAATCTTCATATTCCATTAACTCTTTTGGAAGATTGGTCCTGAAACACCATTAAATGAGTAGCTGAAGTTGGCTATTCTTTAATTACCTGCTTTTATTATATTATCTAAATTTTTATTTAGTCTTAAAATACCTTAAATCTATTAATATGTTATTTGTTTTGTGTAAGATGTTGCATTGCTTATAAAACGATTAATACTGTATTGTTTGTTTATGTTTGATAAAGATTTTATGGTTAATGCACTAATCGCAATTATTTTTACAGTTTTCCAGTTTCATAAAATAGGCTTAAGTTACATGGGCAAAAAATTAAATGCGTGACTTGACTGTTGGGAACAAATCGACTTGTGCTTGACCACTTGAGATAATTATTGGTTTTTTTCTTTGATTCGCAGAAAAATTATATGACAAACATTTTTCTATGAATAAACAATCAAACTTTAAAAGTCTTAATAACCAGACGCTCAAAAGTTAATTTGCTTTGTTCGTAGTTCAAAAAAAAATTGATTGAAAAAGTTGATTTTTCAGAGAAAAACTCTTGAAGTTTTCGAAATTCAGCGGCCTGTAAGGTAAACTTGTTGAGAGTTGTCTGTAACTGATCTAAAACAGAATTTCATCCAATATTAAATTTTTTGGTGAATTTTATTGAGCTTTATATTATGCAGGAGGTATAAAATTTTAGGTTTTTTACTTTCTTAAAAATAAAACAGTCAGTGTTTAAAAAATGGTAGACAATGTTTAGATGATTTAATCTTATCAGACTCGCATTGTCTTAAAAATATGTTGAATAATAACTATCGCGTTCAAGCAGATAACGACAAAGGAAGCTTAAATTTCCTAATTTTCACACTGTAAAATATGTACTTTTTTAACGACAGAGTGTTCAAACATTGCATGCACAAAAATGGGACAAACTACTCCGATAATACGCCACAAGTCCATGATTTTAAAATTTCAAAATTAACTGACCTGAATTTTACGAGATTGCTTCTTCTGAAAAACAATTTCGCAAGTAGACTTATTTTGGAAATAGATTTTCAATTTATTATTACTACTATTATTATTGAAAATGCTTGCAGGTTCTCTTGCAATATTAATAGTCTAATAATAAAAAAAAATACAAAATAAAAAGCTCAATAAATGTTTTTAGTTAGTGTCATCTATTAAGTTTAGCCGCTCTTCATTTGGCTTATTCCGATAGAAGCAAATTAACTCAAATTGTTCATAAAACAAGTCCCTTAATAAATCAAGTTTTGATATAAATATTTGGCTCAGACTGGATTCAGTAGAAATCTTTTTTGGATTATTTTTCAAATTTTACTGACTTACATTAATCCTTGATACATAGAAGAATGTACGGGTAATCCATAGCTGTCCACATCTAGATCATCAGTATAATTCCAGGTTCCTCCAATTTTGTCAGTTTTCTCGAATACAACACACTCATGACCCTGTTGTAGGGAGTGTCGAAGAGCGGCCAATCCAGCCGCTCCAGCGCCCACAATTCCAATTTTCATCCTGTTAAAGCCTGTGAAAGAACCAAAAAATGTATTTCCTGTGCCGAGAAAATTCAACTAAATTCCACATTCCTTGATGGTCCCGTTAAATTCACTGCTATAAATTGTGCGGATTTGACTTTTATACGAGCAACTATGTTATCACTAAACGTAATAGATAACAGAACAGCAATGACTTTCCCAGTATTTTACGTGAAATTGAAGAGGATTAATAAATTTTAAATTTAAATTTATTAATAAATATTTTTATTATTAAAGTTAGGAATGTTTCAACCGATCAATGAAAATATACACTTAAAGAAGGGAGGAGAGACCGTTCTTCTTCCACCGTTTTCAAGAAGCGAATTGCAAGATTTTCAGATCGTTTTTTAAATTGGGGTTTTGCTTCCAGTTGATCATTCGTTCGTTATTCATGCTAAAGGTTTGCAAATGTGGTTGAAAATGAAAAATTAAAGTTCATACATATAACAAAATCTCAGTCGAAATTGGCCCACTTTGCAGGGACAATTGGGGCTCACTTGAAGAATACCCTAAAACTATGTGTTTCGTTCTTCACATTTTATGCTTCAGACTATCTTCATTAATCAGTTCTTATAACATTATTATAACAAGTATTATCTGCTCCTGGATTAATCATGTATTTGATCTATATATAAAATCAACTTTCATGTATTGTTTACTGACCGCTCTAAATCAATTACCTCAAATACAAATGTTATTCAGCCTATCTAAAAACTACCTATCTGGAATTGTGGATAAACGGTTGATTGAAAACCGCAAAAATATGTGTTGTTTGTGAAATGAATGGGAAAATGATGTTTGATCAGTCGAGGGATGAACAGACACAGACAAGCAACAGCAGGTATATTTAACTTATTATGGAACAACAAAACCGTTGTCTAGTTGAAGGTTTGGATAGGGTTATTCGGTTTTGACTCGTATATTGGACGATAAAGATTTAATTAAGCATTGACATTATCATTAACCGAAGTTTTGCCATAAATCCCTCGACGTCAGGCTAAATGATCTAGAACGATACCTGTAGAATATATGGACTACTTATACTTATTTTTTTTTAATTGGCTTCTTTTGATCATAAAATTGCGACTTTTTGCTTACTGAAAAAAATTGTTTTTGCTTAGGTATCAAAGACCAAACGTGTCTGCTTTGTGAAAATCTTATAATGTATTTTTATTGCGACACAAAATTATTATTTTTACCAACTATTTATTACATTTTAATTTTACTATCTTGAGCAGACAGTATAGTACGTACTTATCTGCCTACATATTTTTTAAAGGACACAAAAACGGCAGAGTAATTTTATTTTAATTTGAGCCTAGTATAGGTGCCTAAAATTCGCCCATTTTATCACTGGTATATTATCATTGCCGTGTGTTTTAATGATAACCTAAAAACGAAATTAATCATATGCAAAAGAAAAACTCATTCTGTAAACAGTAATAATAAGGTGCATAAACCTATCATCCGACTCAAATCACATAATTAAACTTTTATAAGCTGGCGACAATAAATACGTAGCATCTACGTGTATATCTTGAGTTTTATCTATTCCTTAATGATTTATTTTATTCGTTTTCCTATAGCGGAACTGATGATTTACGATCCTTGGTATAAATATATTTTTGTTACTTTTTTGGCAACGAAGGTCGAAATGTTATGTTAATCCAAAACATTTCGCGGCAAGAATTAGATCATGGTTTGTACCCCTGAAAAATGTTGCCTAAACAATACAAAACAGTACTTTAATATGTCCTTTAATTGTGGAGATAAATAAATAGGTATAAATCGAATTCCTTAATTTTGATAGTTTTCAGAAGTTACTGAAAAATAACTTTGCTCCTTATGCAACTAAATTTTATCAGAATGTAATTGGCTGCGTAAAAGGTGTTTTCAAAGTTAATATCCTGAGCTGACATTATTGGAATGATTACGTTCATGTGATGTGATCTATTACTTAGAATTAGTCAATTTTGATAAAGTTCTTTAGAATATTAGCAATATTTTATTTACGCGTGTTTTGAGATCTTAAGCATATGGGTCTTGGTAGCGATCACTGCTAAATGATCGAAAACTTCTACAAGTGTTTCTCTTGCTTCTTGTTAATTTATTACCACCCTTCGCTGCTTTAAAATAAATTAGCCAAAAAACAGTTTGTCATGGAATTAATTTTGTTACGCCACACTGCAAACTTTTTTCAGTGGAACAGTGACAAAATATGGCCATAAAAACTATCAATCGAGATGCAAAGCCGGTAATAACAAAATAATTTAATTTACTTGTTTTACATTATTTTACATGCTCCATTTAACAGTTGGACTTTTCAAATTTTTTTCTTAAAGTAGTACGACAAAAATTTCAAACGTTTTTTATAGATGACACTATAAAATATAATTAATTTTAATCTAATTGAAATTCTTCTGTTGAATTATTTTGAATCGAAAGTCGTTTGTCCCGCTTTTTTTATATTCTTATTGCAGTCAACTTATAGCAATGGCAAATGATATGGATCTAGAAAATGTTCATTTGCATCTGAGTGGTGGTGCATCTACAGGGTGGCCCTAAATAAGTGGCGCAACGGCAAACTGTAAATGCCTCATGAAGAAAGACATACAAGTAGAGTCTTCATCTTTCTCCCCGTGCTTTTTTTCCAAAACCATTAACTTTACCGTCATAAACCACGAGAACGTCTTTGTGTAAAATTCGTTAAAGCTTCAGTATTTGGTCTCATTTTTTGGCTGTCAAGTAACATATTCTTTAGGGGGAAAACCTTTACGATCCTCAAAGTCTGCACCAGTGGAGAAAGGTGCGAAAAAGTAGCTATTGATAGTGCTGCTATTGAAAAGCTCATTCATATAATTCAAGAGCTTCCTAAGATATTAGTAGAAATAAATTAATTTTTAACACTGCGTGTATCTCGAAATCACTGAGAAAAAATTAGAAGAGGGAAAAAGCGTTTAATTTTTCCTGCGGAACCTACAGTTTTCATTGCCACACTTATTGAAGCACTCTCTGTATATGGTCAAAAAGCATATGTATTTTGAGCTAGATGTGCATTCGGAAGAAAACTTAGGTACAATAAATATATGGGTTGTGTTTAAAAGTAAGTCTCTTTAATTGATACATTTGGATTAAATTTGCTCTTCACCGTACGTTATGAATATTAACGTTCAACCGATATATTTAACCTTTCTGATCGGTTAACCGGCTTACCGTCATAGTCTAAGAAATAATCTAGCTACTAATTGCGGTTTTAAAATATTAACTATTGTTTTTGTTATAAATACATAATGCGTTTCTTAGCGCCTTCAATATAGCAAATATCTGATAGTAGCGGATGCTACTACTGTTGTTCGCCTCTTCACACGAAGATGTCCGATAGCAAATTGTATGTAGGTACAGTTAAAAATCGGGAAGGTATTAGCGAGGAACTTAAGTTGGTAACGGTAAACCGGAGAATAAATTCGCCTGGAACGGCATTGTATCTGAGTCGTGTACTTCAGAATACGAAATTAATTCAAGAAAAAGGTTCAGAGCGCCTTGTTTCCGAGTTCGTATTTCAAATTATCACCACATCGGACATGAACAACACCTGCTTGCCATGCGAGGTGTGAACGTGCCTCCTTTGCTCGTTCTTTGCATGTCCGGGGGTACCATCTGATAACTCTTGTAAACGTACTGCTTTAGAATGTACCATCTTGTGAACTAGTAAACGACTTATCGTGGACTGGCACTTGAACTTTAAAATTGGATTTAACAAAAAAAACTAGGCAATGATGGCATAATAAAACACAAAGTTAAAACAAATATATATTAAACGCAGAAATGAGTATAAATAACTATAAAACAAAATCAGTCAGAAAGGGCATACTTGGAAGTGGTTAATAAATGAGCCAGACCATACAAGCCCAGCAAAATGGTAACAAATCCTTCCATGATGATAAAATGGGAGAGACTTGAGCCGATGTCCATCCATGAGCCAACGTTGGTAATGAAATATAAAAACTGCAAAACCATGAGATCGGAAAATACGAGAATAATGCAAAACATCTGCAAAATGTTTTCCTTTCCAATGGCATTAATAGCCCGGAACACGCAGCAAGTGAACAGGAAAGGTACTATGATTTTCATTATGATCAACCCCATCATCTTAAAGGGGCTGAATACTGTCAAAAAGGTTCGCACCCACATGGGATCGAAAGAGTTCAAGCTGGCAATATTCCCAGTTCCAAAAAAGCCCAGAAAAATAAACACCATGAAAAGGAAAGCTCTGCGAAACATGTCTGAAGTGACTCGTTCTTTACTTCGATATTCAGCAAAACTCACATAATAAATTAAATTTTCGGAATCATTGGCATTGAAAAACTTGCTTTCAATGAGCAGCCAGTTGCAGAGGATGGCAACATGTATGGCTAAGAAAAATGCTTCAAAGTTGGTAGACACCAGCAAGTAAAAGGGAGCAAACCCGAAAAATGTGGCAATCAACCGCACTCCAATAAAAGTGCTGGTAAATGGAATCAGAGAAATTGGCAAAATGGATAAAACCCAGGAAACATGTTTTAGTGGTGAATTTAGTCCCACTAATTCATATTCCAGAGAAATACTGTAAATACTGGCGACGACAACACATAATAGTTGCAAGAAAAATATTCCATAGCGGATATTGATATTCCGGAACTGATGTTGCACTTTGAGCCTGAAGTACATTTCGTAGAACAACAAGACCCAAGAAGCCGACCCCAAGAAGTACATTGGAATACTGAAGCTGGTTTTCATTACGGGAAATAGAGGAAATATTGCCAGAAGCCCACATAACCCTAGCCAAAGAACTTTGTCTCGTCGGCTAGCAAACTTTCCAAAAGACAATATCCAGAATCCAATGAGAATAGCCAACACAGAAAAGGAGAATCTTTTGAAGAATCCGTAGATCATTAGCTCGATCCCAATGACGTAAACTGAAAGAGTAAAAAAGTTGGTGGTTTTCAACTGCTTAAAAATATGTAGTACTTTGCGAAGATCGAGAAGCAAGCTGAATATCACAAATGGAAAGGAGAAATAAATATAGTAGGATAAGGGATATTTTTGTGCGTAGCACAGTGCTATAGGGACCAGATTCAGAAGTGTCGCAACACTTCGGTTAATTTGTAAATTCCTTTTAAGGGATTGTTTATCTAAGACACATGTCCCCAGGAATAGGATCCATCCAATAAATCCCAACGAAACAAAAACCAGCAAAGGGTACTGGTAGTAGTTATGGTAGTAATCCAATCCGGGTAATAGAATGTCTAGGAACTGCCTACATTCATCTATTAACACCTGAAATTTCTCACTTTTGAGTAGTCCTGCTAGAAACGCCAATTTCTCCTCAATCACCTCGGAAGTCAGTCCTTTGTATGGTAAAAACACTAAGGCGTTGGCTTCAGTGCGTAGCCTTTTGATGTTGAACAATTCCAGCAGTTGGAGCATATTAGAAAATTGAATTTCCGCTAAAGACTGAATCGGTAAATCCAGATAGTCCAGCGGAATCTCCCCTAACGAGTTGCTAGGGATGTTGATGCCAATTAATGAGGCTAAAAATGGAGCTATGTCGATTTGTTTCACATCGCGTTTCTTAGAACTTCTGTTTATTCCTGCGCCCCAAGCTACAAATATGGTTTCAGTTTCGTGTGCAGATCCTGTCCCATGCGATCCCCAGTCCGTCATTCCATGATCAGCCGTAAACACAAAGGCAGTTTTATCATCGTTGAAAGCAGTAGTAAATAACTGAGATATAGTTTTTACTTTTTCGTCTACAAACTGGATGTTTTCAACGTACTCTTTGGAATGGGGCTTGAAACCGTGTCCTGCCGTGTCAATGCCGAGTAAATGTAAGAAAAATACGTTTCCACCAGCGTCGAAGAAGTCACACTCGCTGGTTTGATTTTCGCACATTTTCGACTTCCACTCTAAGAATTTTTCCACTTCATTGAACACCCATAAGTCCAGAGCCCTAGAGTCTTTTTCTCCAAAATCTTCCAAGTCCGCACTATAACTGCTCATGTGAATATGGCTTAGATTATCGTGTTTGAAGACATTCAAGATATCTGGACTGCCCCAACACCAAGCACTCGAACTTTGGTTAATAACGGAATCGAAATTCACAGGATTCGCTTTCCAGCCCTTTAGAATGGCGCTGGGATCTTCATAAATTCCGGCCAGTAGCGCCACATGACCAGGACGTGATTCAGTAGGCACTCTAGTATGAGCTACGCCCCATGAGCCCTTACTTTCCAGAACAGTTTTGAGAAAAGGAATTCTTTCCATGTTCTTATCCAAGACTGCTTCGGCCCTTAAACCATCCGCCACAAAAATGACGATTCGTTTTGCAGGCGGGTTTCGTGTCGATCTAATGAACCTCATGCCCTGATCTAAAGGGCTTGAAAAATATATGTCGAAGACCGCGAAAAGCAGCAGGGCATGAACGGCCAGACCCAAAATAACAATTTGGTACTTCTTCGATTTGTTGGTGTTCCGGTCTTCATCGTGTCCCATTTCAGGTTCCCTCGCTGGAACAAATAAAACTGGGTAAAGCTCCAAATGGCAGACGTATCAGTTGACTAATGTTTTGTCAAGTTGTATGTAGTGGTATTAAATCAGGTAAAACTGCTCGTTCCGACTGTCTCTATTATTTCAGTCTAGAGTATCGGAAATTTGTGTTGGCACAAGTAGCACACACGTCTGGAATTAAAACTTTCGCTTAAAACACAGTTTCGTAAATTGTGGAAAATATACAGCAAATACAGCAGGATTTTACTGTATTAATTTTCAACGTTGACTTATACGTTTTGAAAAAATAGTACCGCATTGTGAATTGCGCTGACAAACACTCTGTCTTCTCTACAAAGAATTACAGAAAATTGCAGAAAAATTACAAAAACTGCTGAAATTTTTAATGCGAAGTAGATCAGCAATTCCTTTATTGAGTGGAATTCATTTCAAGGTTGAGTACCTAACAAATTGTTTAAAAATTCTTATCAAACTTTGGTTTTTGAAAAAATCGCGAAATTATTTGATCTGTTATTGAACAATTTGAAGGTTTTCATACAAAAGAATGTCAGAAATGAGGAAGAGAATTCATAAAAAATAGGACATTTTTTTACCGAATAGAGTAATATTTCATGTTTTAAATTGAGTCAATTCCAATTCTATCTCTCGGTAATTTGGTCTATTCATTTTCAAAAAATCCTGGCACAATTTGCTCTATTCAGTGTTTTATACAAAAACGATCTGCAAATACAAAAGTGCGAATTTTTTTAAATCCATTTAATTTCAGTTTGAGTGACAAATTTTTGATACCTTTGCGGCCCAATCTGGTCTAAGATAACAATATGTATTTTTGTGTTTTTCACCGAATAGAGTAACATTTCCTGTTTCAACCTGAGTTAATTGCAATTCTATCTTTACTCAAATTGGTTTATACAATTTCAAAAAACCGTAGCACAATTTGATCATTGTAGATATTCAGTGTTGTACACAAAAATTATCGAAAACATTAGAGAAATTGTCCCACATTTAAAAATTTTCGCACAAATAGAGTAAAAATTCATTTATTTATTAACTTCAATAAATTCCAACTCTCGATTTCATTTCAATGTTGAGTTTTTTTGAAATTTTTGATACCTTTGTGGCCCTATCTGCTCCAAGAGCACAATATTTATTCTTGTAATACCGAAAAGCAATATTTGGTTTTAAATTGCTATAATTTCAATTGATTCCACTCCTGTCTTATACGTAGATTTAAAAAAGTAACCATAATCTGTAAAAATCACAGAATGCGGTTTTGGTACAAGTGTTGCTGGTGCCTAATTTAAAGTTTGAATAAAGAATTATTATGGAAATCCGTTTTATCTTCTCCGATCTATAGTCTGTAGTTCGACGTTGAGTTCCCTGAGGGCAGCACCACGTCTTGTATCATAGGACTTGCTACTTATATATCCTTTAGAGAACGTCGTATCTTAAATAACGCTCTAAATGGAGTAGTCGAAGCAAAAGAAATTGTGCTAAAGACGTAAATTAAGTTTGCTTAAAAACCACTTACAAAGTTTTCTAATTTGGGAACGCAGCACTTCACTCTTAAACCGAAATACAATGTTAGGACATACCGATACTAGTTTATATTTAAGTGATGTGTTCTACACTAGCATTATTAATGTCTGATGGTCGAAACTGATCTTCGTTAATCTGATTACATTAAGTTTTTGCGAAATTTCGGAGCTCGCTTCTTCCACTCGGATAGATTGAGGTTCGGAACCGCAACATTCGCATTCAGCTGATTGACGCTACTAACTAAAGGCAACGTTGCCAGTAACATAACCTGTTGTTTTTTAAAGTGTCTTTTGAATTTGCTTTGGGTTATTTTATTAGTTAGTGTTGGAGTTCCTGTAGCTTAAAACAACTGTAGCTTCTAAATATTCAAATGGTTTTTATGTTAATGTGACTTCTATCGTGCCCCTGCACATTTATTAAAAGCTATTAGGTTTTCATTTGCGTTTCTGTCAACTTTTGAGCTGTTCTCCTCAAAACTTAGTTGTGCTGAAAAGGACTTTCCTGGAAAACGGTTATATCAATGCATTTAAGAATTTTTGTGTCGTGCGACAACACTGTCGTCGAGGAAGATTCGTTAAAGATGTATCTTTTTGAAGCTTCGTAAGTGTTTGCGTTCATTGAATTAGTTGCAGAAGTATAGTTTTCAATGCTGCTGCTGAGTTCAGTAAGCATTTTTATAAGTGGTTAGTGCTTACCAAAGTTTGCTTGTGACAAAAGTTCTTAGGCCTCCTACTTGTCACTTAACCTCACAAACATCTAGAAATGTACTGATTCGATAGTACTAGATTACACTGAATACACATAAGAACAATATAATTTACCCAAATAAACGAGTTTCACTTTAACGATTACTGGTACGCTCCCAAAACTCGTAAAATCCGGGAATTATGTAATCGATGGAACGTTCTGCTGTTCTATAAATTACCTACCTCGATTGACTCTAATGAGTAGGTATAATAACTTACGAGTATAATGAGTATTAAACTTTAATGATGCATGTTCCCTCGATGGTGCACATATGAAGCAGTCGCCTCAGTAGCAAGAATTTCGAATCGAAGTCGTTTTAATAACGAAAATGAGGTTTAACCTCCTAAAGTGGAAATAAATTCGCCCCTGGAGAAGAATATTTCGCAGCTCACGACGCCAAAGAAATTATAAAATCTATTCTTTGAAGATAAGGTACTTGTCTACCAGTTGATGATCGTTTTCCATGAAAACACTTTCCTATAACATCAAGCAAAACTAAATATTTTTGTGGACAATCAAAACTGACGTTGTGAAGTGAGGTATGAAATTAAGATGAGATGTTATGTGATAAATAACAAAAAAAAGTAATCGAAGATAGTGATTTGTGAGAGAGTGTTAAACGATAAGCGAGGAAGATCAAGAAGACGAAAGTGCGGACTGAACAAGGAATTGCGAAATGGGTCTTAGTGAAACACTGCGGAAAGAAGTTTGTTTTTCAAACACTTCACAAGAAAAATGAAATCCAAAGGAAATTATAATAAATGGATTGTTCAATTTACTAGGGGAGATGAGTAGGCAGAGTTGCGCTTTCAATTTAAATGCGTTATGGAATTTGCTGTTTAAATTGCATCAAACCACTTGCTTGCTGAAGAAAAGAATCTATATTTTTCGTAGAATTATCATTAACCCTGGTTGCTTACATTTTCCAAAACGGAGATTTATTTGATTCAAGTTTAGGTGATGGTTTAGGCTTCTACATGAACTTGACAAAAAATGAGCCACTGCCGAAAAGTGAAACAGGAGGTTTCCAAAGTTGACAAAAACAGTTTAACAGTTAACAGTTTAATTTTGCGATAAGAAAGTGAACAATGAGACGAACCATCAGAAGCTGAAAAATGAGTAGACAACGATTTTAAAAATGAAATGGAATAGAAAAACGTTTAGTCAGAAAGGAATATAAACAAAAAGATGAATTCGTTGATTGTCGCCAACAGAATTATATGACTCTTTATTGTGCAATCTGTTTAGATTGGCACAATCAAGAACTGAAAATCGAAAAGAAATTTAAGTTACTTTGAACCCAAGTTTTTCATAAATGACCACTTCCAAGAGTTGCTCGGTTAAGAGTGTAGTTGACACAAATCACGTTATCAGCATCTTTCGGAAACCGTCGGCAAAAAAAAATAAATTAAATTTGACTGGATCACCAACTTATGTTGCAGAACTTATTTATTTTTCATACATCTTTATTATGAGAAATCTAATTTGCTTGACTTGCACAAACCTTTTATGTTTTAATCGTGGAAAATTCGTACCCCCAAAAGTGGCGAGAATATTTGGTTAAGAAGATCAAAAAGTAATACTCTTACGAGGCATAGAAGTTCGAAACTTGCATCCAAAAGTCGCAGCAGATCTTTATATGTAGTTCAGATGATAAAAGAGTTTTTCATAATGGGAAAATGGAATAAAAAATTAAGAATCCTTGCCAGTCCTTCTGAATGAAACAAGAAGCTAAAGAAGAATAGAAATTCTTTCAAAAAAAACTTGAGGGATATTTGGAAAAATGGCACAGTGTAAAAATTCACCAAATACCTGCGATGAGATTCTAGTTAAACCGAATAATGTTGAGTTTTTCAACAGGCACTAGAAGTTGACAATAAATGATTAACAGCTATTTGAATTTTGGCACCTTTGGCTCAATTCTTAACAATTAGGCATAATTTTCGTGTTGTATGCACAGTTTAGACTGGTCTAAGTGCATTGTATTCTCATAAAACAGTAGAAAAAGATCTACATTAATTCCGAAACGCAACAAAGAAGATAAAAGTTAGATAATTTATATAAGAATATATGGAAATAAATGGAAGGTACCATCGGTTCTGAGAGCTTCAATTTGGTGAATTGGCAATATCGGCTGGTACTCCGGTCCATTTTGCAATCGATACTGAACCGACAGGTTACTACTTTGACAGGAATTTTTCCTCAACAAGTTCACGATGCCATAATTATTACCTTCTAAAATCACGTAGTTCTACAATGGCTCACCCGAGAGATAAGTTCACGACAATCGTGATCCAGCTAATAATTAAAACAAATGTAATTATGGCGGCTGTCCGCTTTTCGGTACCGCAATCTGTTCGAGTAATGACCGCTTTTCCTTTTTATAGGACACTGTGTTGTCTAAAGCAATCACTTCGGATAAATTATGTCCTGATGAATTGGAAGTAATTGGTTCTTTGGTTTACCTTGTGCAACGGTTTTGTTTGTCAATTGGTAATTAGTGTTCTTTATAAGAGTGCCAAATCAATCGCAAGTTTTGCAATTTGGGTACGTAGCTGTTCATTTCTCATGGATATTAACTTTGTCCGATGCACTTTATTTATTTCATTTATTAAACATTTTATTATTCCTGATCTACGTTTGCTTATCTTAAAAGATTTTTCTTCAAAACTCTAAAACACTTCTAGTTCTCCCATTAGTAGATAAAGCTGAAGCTGTGAATCCTTCGTCTCAGGTTACCAGTCGTAAAGCAAACAGGATAAGAAAAAGTTAACTTCAATCGGCAGTAAAACATGTGGAATCCGGAAACTCCGACATTACATTGAAATATACACTGGTGATTATTGAAATATTGGTACCTATCTTAAAGTACGGTCACGCCGGTCGGCGGTAAATTTTTCCCATTTCGAGCTAGGTGGGAAATTGCCTTTATAACAGAGAGTTATGGTTATTATGCTGGTATATTTTGCTAATCGTCGCCACCATGAATCTGTAATGGATGTCCATTAAGCGACCCATAAATCGTATCGTGATTTACAGATTCAGTCAAGGATATCATGTTTAATTAAACGATATTCCGGCTTTATTTTCCAATAAATTATTATCATTATCCATAAGCACCAATCGACCCAAAACTATAATTGGTGGCACTTTTAAGTCCTTTAAAAAATCGCACTTCATTAAGCATCCCAAACACATCGCATAGATGGAGGATGCCATTTTGAGAAGGCATTGTATTCCGTCAGAGGAACTTAGAAAGCAGAAGTAAGATACAATCGGTCCTGATAAGCACCACCCATTGTTCACAGCGGTACCACCGTAAAGAGGTTCCAATCCTTTCACGCTGCATCGTGTTTAGGCGTGACGGCAAATGCGCTGTTTGCATTTATTGTTACAATTTAAACACAATCTATTCTAGAGATAGAGCCAATTTGCATGCGAGGAGTACGGAATCTATTCGTAACTAGGTGACGCGATTCGATTAATTCAGTTAATTCAGGTTTGAAAAAAACTTTTACATTTGGACAAAATTGCTTTGGGTTCTCTTTAAACTTATGTTGCACATAGTGCATTAAAATGCAGGACATTTTCTCAGTTTTACTACCCCAATAAGGGGTTATCGAAAAGCTATGAACATTTTCTGGTTACGAAGGCAAAAAAGTGTCAACTTTTCTTAACGGAATTCTTGTATATTTAACGTTTATGTCGTTTTAAACCTAACACTCTACCCCATTGTAGTTGAAGACATGCTTGGCAAGTTTATTGAAAACATCGAGATAAAATTGACTGCTATTAGCGAATAAAAGTTCAAACCATGTGTTTGCATTGTTTGATTAAAGTTAAAATTGTTGTTCTAGCTTCATTTTGCTTTAATTTAATAATTTTGTTTCACGTTTTGTTAAATAATATTTTTAATTTTGTGAAACTAATATACAGTATTTTGCTGCTATTCTGAAACAGTTGTAATGCACTGAAAATAAATGTTTATCGAACTTTTTCTTTCGTTGCTTTAATGCTATTAATGTTTTCCTTGATTTTGTTTTATCTTCTAGTTCTTTTAAACTGCCAACCTATACAACAGTTATTCGATTTTACACTGCATTTTTTCTTCTCAGTCATATCATGAAAATTGAAAATTGAAAATATCTCCGAAAATTTTGAATCTAGGTAAAAAATTACTTAGTCGATATAGATAGTAAAACAAAATATTCTACATTTTGTTATTGATATAGATTCATTAATTAATCTGTCAAGTTTCAAATTTGCTGAAATATTTGTCCTGTTTTAACCCAAAATTCCCATCTAATGACTAAGAACCAAAGTTAAATTAACACTAAATCAAATATCTGATGAATAGTTTGTCTGATTAAAAACTCGAGAGCGGTTAGTTTGTACTTTTATTGAAAAGTTAAAAAAATCGTCCTGTATCAAAATGCACTTTCGAAAATTATTTGCAACTTTTGAACATGGATTTGTTTAATTTTTGCTAATTTTCAAGATGTTTGTACTACATTTGTGAAAACTAGACGAATAGACAGAAGAACAGCTCATACCAGGATATCTAAAATTATTAATGTATAATGTTTTCATTTGTACAAAAGCAAAAATTTATAAAATTGAAAACATTATTAGTTTATAATACAATATTCTTTAAGAGTTTTATACTTGACTAAAAATCAATAGAGTTGAAAACTTCATTTATGAACCATATAATTTTTTCTTTGTGCTCTGTAAAAAAGTTTAATAAGCTGCGATAAGTCAGTAGTTATTTATGACTGAAAATTAATTGAATTAAGTTATTTGCGAATAATTAAGTAAACTAATTGCACATCACAGTATTTTAAACGGAATCTGCAGCATTAACATGAATAAAAAACAGCAAAAATAATAGTGTGTGGTCGACATTCACTGTATTCTTGCAGACAGCGGATGTCGCAACGGCTTACCACCTGGGTACTGCCATTAATCTGAATCAACCAAGAAATTCTAAAGTTACAGTACTATGGAACACGCTTGATTCGTATTCCATAAAAATGGAAACTTGTTAACGTGTAAATGAACGCAATTTTCATTTCACACAGAACTTGGTTTGGATGGGAAGGGAAGGAAATTGCGTAGAAATAAAAGATGAATCAATTCAGTAGCATCAAAACTCTTTGAACTGAAATCTTTAGGAACACTGGATCATAAAAAAGTTAAATTTGAATCTTCCACTGTCGATATGCTTTCTATTAAACTAATAATGCCAATTTTGAATCACTCTATATATTAGTTTAGTTGTTTTAAGCAAAGATATTTTAGAAATTTGGTATTAATATCCTGCTCCAATCGATTCTGGTGTGAATATCGCGTTGGAGTTTAGCCTAGAAATCAGAAAAAATGTCGAACAATCGGCTGCACAAAGAGAACGGTTTTCTGTTTTTGCAAGCAACATATTTCATGGGCTTTTCTGGTAGTTTTTACCATCACGATCAATGTGTACTGCTCCAGTTGCGGAATCTGTATACAATCTTGTTGATTTATGTTGACTGGTGCTGTAATAACTGAGCCTGCCCCGTAAGTATCAATTTTCAGTGGCGTCTCCTCAAAGGAATTATACGATAACAGGAAAAATATCAATTTGCCCTAGCAGCTATTTTAACTCTTCTCCTTGTAACTTTTTTAGCTCTTCTAATGACTGCAGTCTCCATTGCTTTTTAAGACTGCTGAAACTAAGAATTTACTAGTTACGATAACAACACATTTTTGATCACCTGAGAAGGCCAAAAACATGTCTTTGTTAATTAATTTCTGTTTTGAAAACGTTGTCCGTAATCACCTGTTTTTAATTCAATTTATTTTATTTTAAACCCTACAGTTTTAAGGTAGGTATATGCCGCCCCTGGTTGGTTCTATTCTTTGATGCCCTTTTATGTGTTTCATATATTAAATGTTAACAGGTAAACACAATAAATAGCCCATATAGTTAACAAATAGCAAACGGTTTGCATGTTACGAACGGTAAATGTTGTATATTTGATTTATATGTGTTCCACCGCACATATTTGGTGCGATTGTATCCATGCAGATTGAAACCTTTTCCGAACCGTGGTTGAGCAGATTTATCATGTTTTCGGACTGTAATAGAGAAAAATTCAGATAATTGCCCAAAAACCGCAAATTATGGTGGCTCAAAATTGAATTATTGAAGGTGTCGCATTGATTTATCGGAAAAGTAGAATTTCATTATAAAGGGCCCATAAAATAAACCGCATCGCCAGGTTCCTGCATGCTGCATGGAAGCTTTTATGGCTTTTCGTAGATGCGAGTATTGATTGATTTAAGAAAAAGTTAAAGGCGGCAACAAGTGGAAATTTGATTTTATGTGCGATTTCAATTTAGAGGAATTATCCGAGCTGATGGGGTTTGAAGAGCATGTCAATTGCACTTAATGATAAAATTAATTGACTGAAATCGGAATTTTACTGTTTGTTTCCTATTTACAGTATTAGTGTGATGAGGTGTTGCGACATACCAATTTTTTTTAAACAGAAAATTGCCTTCTGATGGCTTGGACATTTTCGAGACAATTACTCGGTTTGTCTAATTGGCAATTGGTGCGGGTTGATGGTGTAAATTCAACATGTAATTTTACTCTAATAATTGATAGAAAACACGATAATAATATATAATGTTTGTCTTCATGTTTGCTGTTTTCACTTGGCCTGAAAGTTTTGATTGTGGTTCTTTTCAATGAAGGTAAAATGGTGTATAGGTTTCTATAAAATCTATAATTGGTACTCTTGGTGCGCCCAAAAAGAGAAGTTTTCTTCGAAAAAAAAACGTTTAAGTAAATTTTGCGCAAAAATTAACCTGGCCTTAAAAAAAGTAAAATCTCTCGAATGGTTCAAAATAAACAGACGACTAAAGATCCAAATTGCTCAGAAGACATGGGGTTATAACATCGTACTTTTTATCTCTCTGGGCTCCGCATATTGCCGGAATAAAGATTGAGGTTTTGATAAAGAAAAGATGATAGTATTTAAATACCATGTACAATATGTTTATTTGATTTACATCTTGAGCAAAAAAATATTCAAATCGCTTCAGCGAGTGAAAAAATATTCACAGGCAAAAGTTAGGGAATATGTAAGGTATGCGTTGAATTTTCGGTGCACTGTAATAGATACGCATTTAAATAACACTATTTCCACATGGAAGAGGTACTATCTATAATCAACCGTGCTGTTTCCAGAAAACTATAAATATTTGTTTCGTTATGTACTTAAAGTCTGTGCACGGTAACAGTTTCAATTAACTTATAACCTGTGTAGTCAAATTATTTTGATGCACATCTCGTAGAGTTTCTCGCTTATATAAAGTCCGCCATTACAGTTACTTCGGTTAGTAAATCCAGATTGACGGCATCTAATAGTGAAGTAGTTGAGAGCAGACCGAAGCGCATGCAAGGGTCAAAGGGGTCGTCAAGAACGGTTTCGTACTGAGAGTCACTTCCGTGCTAGCCTGCCACTTTGTTCGCGATTTTCTCAGTGAATTCATATGCCCTTTTTTACATATTCCCGATGCTGGAATATTAAATAGTGTGCGTGAAATTTGCAACATTTAATGAGTTTCGGGGCTATTACATGAAGCAGCACGAATTTAATTAGTTAGTTGCGCGAAAAACCCCAGACGCTTAGGAACGCTGCAAATCGAAATTTGCGTTTTTCTAATGTCTTTTTTGAGTTTACAGTCTCTTCAGGTGGCTTGAAATAGACGAACGTTTACCTGTTTAGATGTTAAGCGCGATCGGTGTTCAGGAAGAGTATTTTGCGGATAAAAATCCAGGATGTTTTTCTAGAGTGCGACTTCTTTAATTGTACAAATGAAAGCTCCAAATGGGTTGTCACTCACATTGGGGTCCGTTATTGACGAATTAAAATTTCTTGTATTTTTATACAAAATATATATATTTCTTAGACAGGCATATACACATTAGGCGAAAATTTCTGCATATGGAAGTATATTCCATATACCTAATATCCACACCAAACTAGTCGTTTAAAATTGTAATTATTCCATACTTTTGCTGTTTATTAACTAAGTTATTTAACGGTTTCTAAATGGTTTCCTTTCCCAATAAGCTAATAGAACAGTCGCTTTTGAGTAAATCCTAAATTAGTTTATTTAATTAGACTGAGACATTTAACAACTAATTACAAACATAATAAACTTAGCCACCTGCCTGCTAAACATAACGATATCTAAGTATAGTTTCAAATAGCAAATTTCAAGCAAGTGGGACGATATAAGGCGGAGCTACAAATAATCACGAATAATGTCTTAAACAGTTCTGCTCGCTATTGGTTCTACCAGTCAAGAGCCCTGGGCAGTCTGATAAACAAATCTCTTATTATGCAATAGAAACCGAGCAGATTTGTGCGAGGTGTTATGGAATGGACGAACAATACTATTGCATAAACTTTGCCGATTTAAATTGAAATTTTCCGAGATTTTCTAGCAGGTTTGAACTCAATGGTTTGCCATCTATCGACTGCTAGTTCCATGACAAATATTAGTAGAGCCAGAAAATATCCAGCTCCAACAATTGATAAAACTGGCAAAAGTTGCTCCAATGTGACCACGAAACTGCGTTTGTCCTCTTCTACGTAGAATTTGAGCGCGTAAAAGTACTGGTATAGTTTAATGAATTTTGACAAAACTCCGATCTCCATTAGGTGGCCGATCCATTCATTATATTGTTCGGTAAAATAGGAATTCTTGGGCATTGCTAGATTTTGCTTCATGCCATACACTTCAAATACACTGAATGATCTTAGGATATTTGGCCGCATTATTATGTAACCTGGAATAAGAACAGGCAGTTTAGGAATTTATAGGCATAGCATAGCATTATTAGGCAGTATAACGGTTTTTTTCTCTAAATATTTGCACAAGTATTTGGATCTCTAATCCCGTTTTTTGGGAACTTATTTTTTTTATTCGAGAAGTTTCTCCATTTTGTGACTAGTTTGCGATAAAGTAATTGTGGTATGCTGAGATAATCGCAAATCATTTCCGAAAAAATCAAAAAACTTATTTTTGGTCAAATTTTCATTCAACCTGCAGGGTTTTGGAAATTCCTTATCGGAATGTTTTACAGAAATGTTACGATGTCTAGTACTGCAGCTGGAATAGAGGACTAAAAAATATTTAATTTCGCTTTTTTGTAAATAGCAATTAAACATAGTAGGTACTCATTCATCGGGCATTTACTGGGCAATTTTAGGAAGTTTTCGTTCTCCATTTCGGATAGTTAAAATGTCAGTACCAAACTACTGGAATTTATTCGAAGAGATTTATTGCAATGACTAGAAAGGATTAATAAAATGCTAGCGGTTTTACCTGTATCAACAATGGTAGCAAAATCCTTCTTTTCTACTGCCATGTTTCCAGCCTGGAAAGGATACGGGGCACCTTCTAGCGCTTGAATTCGTTTGTAAATTTCACCATCTCTCTCGTGGAATCCTATACGAAATAAGAATGCTACGCCAGAAATCGTTTTGATTGGGAGATTCGAATTGAGTAGATCGTCATTGTTTTCGATTGGATCGCCGTAGATCGTACCACTCAGCTCACTTACAATGCTGCCTTGGATACATGTGGAAATTGTCATGGATTGTAATAAAAACGCCCCTGAAAATAATTATATCCTGTTTAGTTCAGTTAGTTCAGTAGATGAAGATTATTTTTTGTTTCAAGGGTTGGATAGATTAGATAGTTTTATATCCAATTTTGCTTCGCTTTTGCCCGTACGACTAAGCAATTTATTATGAATGTTTGAGACCCAAAATAGAAATTATTTGGAAATAATCCTACTAACTGTTAAAGTGCGTCCAGACTTGACAAACCGAACCTGGGCCGCGGCAAATTCTATTGATGTTTTGTCCAAACACCGACAGACGATCCATTTTCTATCGGTGTTTTGACGAAGCACAAAGGGATTTGCCGGGTTCAGGCTCGGCACCATCAGACTTACCTACGTAAATTTGTAATGATCTTGTCTTCGGCAGTCGATGCATGGATGAAATACCCAGAATTGGCCCAGAAAATAGAAAGTAGGTTTTCATAATCGAGGAAAATAATTCGTGATCTACAGTGTTTTTCGACATGTAATATAACATGACCACCATTGTTACTATTAGAGTAATATAGCCAATAGCTAAAGTGATCAACTGTGGCCGTAGCATTTGCTCAGTGAGCGAACTATACGGCATGGGCACTAGAAACAATAAACTGTTATCTATGAGAATTGGGGAAATATCAAATATCAAGGTGACATGTATATTGACTGGGCCGACGAATAACTGCCCAAACTCGCCGTCCAGGTCTTCCAGTAGTGTTGCAAAGTTATATCCCTCGGATAGTTCTTGCAAGTAGACTGGATCGTATGGGCGATAAACGATTGGTCTGTTTCCGATGGAAGTTATGGCATCGAGAAACTCGACAAATATTCCCTGCCTGGAAGTGTTCACTTCATTAACGTATGGAGGCATAACAGTCCATAGAGCATATATTGGGCAACCAGCAAATTGCGACTTGAAGTTCCATTCATGAATGGTGCTCAGATCCGAACCCCCGTTCAAGGAGCTGATGAAGCTTGAGCTGATATTCGATCCGCAGTTCCAAGTGTTCAAGTTAAACACTTTGGCATCAGCCACGGCTTCCTTATATGCAAGAATAAAGGAGAATGGTAGTTTAAACTTCCAAAGGATTTGGGCAAAGTCTTCAACCAATTCCTCTTCCCTTGTTAGGATAATATATTTTGATGCCCCCGGCAATCCCATCGAACTTTCTGATATGTTTCCAAATATTTCAGTTAGACCGCTGGAGCCGAACGGAAAAATTACAAAAGTGCGTGGTGTTTGCTCGAGGTTATCCAGAAAAGATTTTACCGCCGCACCATTAGTTCTAAACAGCAATTCTTCACTCGCGGAAGTCAAATCGTCATGATAATCTGCAATTACTACGTTGGTATAGCTTTCGGCATAGTATTTCTTTAAAAACCTATCAAGGTTTACTTGGGGCACTCGTTTTGGGATAGAATTTAGTTTGCTAGATGCTAATAGAGCGGCGTTAGCCAACAGTAAGGAAATAGCTAAACCAGCCATGGCTGAAGAAACCTTAATGCAACTGATGGAAACTCTAAAGAATCCGCAGCTGGTATTATTTATTTCCAATTATGATGACCTATCGCAAGGTAAATAATACAAATGTATTGATAATGATTTGTCAATATGGTTGGGCTGGAATTTACGTATTTGCCACAGGAATGGAAGTTTTGGATCTTTATCGGAAGAAAATTGCAGAGCAGACAATAATTTGAAAAGCGGCAATCAGGAATATTTTGTGTCCAAACAATGTGCTTGAGCACTTTCTTGAAGCACTTATTTGGAAGGGAGTAGGGAGTCTAATTCTAATTATTTTGGAGCTTTAATTGATTGAGTTTCATGCTTGTTTAATTCTTGAAAGTTTTAATTGCCAGAAAGTCTCACTAATATTAATTCCATGTTATTTAAACGCTTTGAAAACTTCATAAGTTGGGATGATAACGTGATTATAATTATTATTTATTATTATAATATTAATGATAATCATGTGGCTCAAATGGGGCTTGAGAAAAAAGAAGCAGCGTCATGTTTGAGTCGATTTTGCAACTAATAATAATATTGAGATTAAGGTTTATGTTTGTGCTTTTGTGCACTACTCGATTATTTCCCGATCTTCGCATGTAGATCCCCATGTCCTCCGAGATACCATCACGGACGTATCGTCCGCATACTCTCATACAGCTCCAGATGGAACCATTTTGGTTATTCAACTTCAACTAAACTGCTCAACAAAATTGCCCTAACTTTTGAAATGGATAAATTATAACTGCTTAGAGCGAAAATTAAACATCTCAGATACATTTTCTACAGGGTGCGTAATAAAAAAACGCAAATCGTAAACTTTGGCATTTTGGTTGCTTCTAGTTGGACTAAAACAGGTTTCTTTTTCTCATCACTAGAAGTTCTACCAAATTAAACCAAATAGTTCAAGAAGGTTGTGAATTTTTTGTGAATCCACTGTTTGGTGTTGAAGCGATACCGTTTTTGCTCTTGGTTCGATTTTCACAATATAGATCTCATATTGAATCTAAAAGTGCATAGACAATTTAAGAAAAAAATTCGACATACATGAAAAATGACTCAAATCAGAGTTGCCCCCCAAATCTGGCAGACTTTCAACTGAAGTGAAGTTCACTTTCAAATATATCGTTCACTCATGCAACTTGAAATTTCGATTTTTTTTCGTCCAGGTCCACTGATGAGCCTTAAATTTTGAAAATCGGCTCAAAAAAAAATATGGATCACAACAAGACCAAAAAGTTAATTTTTCTGAAACCACTCTGTAAAATAACTAGATCGTCAAAAAATTCCAAAACGTTTTTCGTGATAAAAGGTTTATGTTAATGCCTATGGTGTTTAAATACAAAAACTGAGAATTCCGACTGAGAGCACGTGGAACTTTCACTAATTTTGCATTGTTTCATTTGCCACGCTTTATAATGTAAAGCACTAATTGATTGCAGAAACAGGCACTAATGGAAACATAATTGCACTAAATAAGGCTTTAAACAGAAATCAATTCGCGAGTAGCACTTATAATTTATCTAGTTTCAAAGTTTTTTACTCAGTTTTACTTTTGTTTGTGGCTTTTTTACGTATTTTCGTGCATTGTGTTTGGAAGTTGGCGTCAATCTTCTAGCGGCTTTTTAGAAGATGGAGAGGAAAATGTTTCTCATGCAAGTACATTTCCGTTACATGTTTCAACGATTCAACGAAGGCTTACGCGAAAAAGCTCGTTATCGATAAAATCCCTAATTTTTACCGCTCTGAGCTTCTGGATAAAACGGTAGTGAAACATATAAAACCATTCTTTTTTTTTCATAATTCAGCTGACTATTTTAGACTGCCATCAACAGGGATGCCTAGACAAATGAAAGTCGTAAAAGGTAGTGTTAGAATTTGCAAAATCGTTTGGGTTTTGATAAAGTTTAGCTAATGAAACGAAAACTATAAACGGAATGAACATGAAAATCATTATTAGAAAAGATGCTGAAAAGCTTATAATTTCGTGAAAAACCGCTGCTTTAATTTAAAAGCATCTCTGTTTTCCAAACAATTTTTGAACAAAAGGCCTAATAAAAGTTTTCAAACATGCGGTTTAAGTTGCTCATCAAGATGATAAGTAAAATGTTGTTTATTGAATTTATGAAATGAAGATCTGCCTGTAGCAATATTGATTTTACCAATGTATTTATCCGCTGAGAAAATCCGAATGAATTGAATTAATATTATGGCGTATACTTGACTCACCCTTAACAATAGATTATAGTACAATTGACTGTTCAAGTTCGGATTGCACGTAATGTTGTTCGATTGCAATGATAAATGGATATAATATTAAGTGATCGTGGCTAGTTTATTGATGAGGCAAAAGGAAGGATAACCGACGATGTCAAAATTTATTACGCTCGCAATCAGGTTGATCATTGGTGCTTTCCATTTCTGCAGATTACCAGTCATGTATGATCACTAAGGTCGGTTATTATACAATTCCATCACCTTTGATCTGCCAACTATGTGGGAGTGGTTGGGAACCTAGAAATGGCTGGTATATAATTCCGATACTGTGGTAGCAAATATTATCGACTTACTGAGCATAAAATAATTTTTCTATCAAGGAAACGGATGGTTTATCGACTGCTAACGGACTGGCAAAGATCAATTAAAAAAGTATGATTCATCATAGTTAATAACAACTTTACAACAGAAATGAGCAAATTACAGTTGCTCAGGTTGCCTACATATGTGGGAAGAGATTAAGCGCAGGATCTTCATATGATTTGCATAAGAATTTGAATTTTTAGTCAGACTGCTTGGCACCTGAGAATGTGTGTTTGCAAGTGTTTGGTTGTTTATGATTTTCAATTTTCACTTCACGTGATAACTGGCTGGGAATTTAATGCTAAAAAAATTTTAATTGATTAATTTTAATTACAAATGAAACTATAGTTGTGAAACACAAAGACCGAAATGCCCCGATATATTGCAAGGTTATTCAAATGAACCGCATAAATTAATTTAAGCGATTTGTTCTAAAAACGCTGAAACACTGACGAAAGCTTATTGAAGCTTTGTTGGTAATCTTTATCTCTATTACAACTTCTTCATTCGCAGTTACTCCAACCTGGTTCAAATGAGGGCTCAATGAAATGAGTGAAAAATCTGAATGTTTCCGCTTTTCAACAGTCGGTGGTTTAAAAAAATCTGCATTTAAGGCAGGAACTGGCTGTTCCTCTAGTTCCTCTATCCATATAGATGGAATGAGACAAGAGAGAAACAGTGAAACCTTGATTCAATAATACGCTTTATTAAATTACTGCCGTAAACTACTAATCATTAACTATTAATAGTAAACTTTATTAATATAATGGGTACTTTATTAGTTATTTTATTACCATAGAATAATTTGCTGGTTAAGATGTGATTAATCGCTCACAGCAAATTACTTCAGAATTATTTTCCCATTGATTTGAAGGCAGATGCCCATATTGGATCCAATTCCGAAAAATCGTCCAAATCG